GAGAGAGAGAGAGGAGAGAGAGAGAGAGAGCGAGAGAGAGAGAGAGAGAGAGAGAGGAGAGAGAGCGAGAGAGAGGAGGAGAGAGAGAGAGAGAGAGAGAGAACTAACGGACCGCCACAGCCACAGACAGGGGAGGGAGGGCATGGCATGCGACCTGACGTTGATCTGTGACCCGGAGACGTCCCACCGGTCTGTGATCTGTGCCCTCGGACACTGACCTGTGACCTGTGGCGTTCACCTGTGGCCCGCCACTGACTGACCTGCGCATGATGGGGATGCTGACGTCCAGGAAGACGGGCGGGTCCTGGCCGGTCAGCTGATCCTCGGAGGGCACCGCTCCGTGGCGCGAGACGGCGTCCAGAAACACCTGCTGATCCACCTACAAACACAAACACAAACAGAGGGTGAGACGGCGTCCACAAACACCTGCTGATCCACCTACAAACACAAACACAAACACAATCAGAGGGTGAGACGGCGTCCAGAAACACCTGCTGATCCACCTACAAACACAAACACAAACAGAGGGTGAGACGGCGTCCAACAACACCTGCTGCCCCCCTCTCTCTCTCTCCTCTCTCCTCTCTCTCTCTCTCCCTCCCTCTCTCCCCCTGCTCTCACCTCGTCCATGAAGACGTTGAGCTGCTGCCGCTGCGGCTCCAGCGGCGAGACGCCCATGATCGGTCCGTCCTGAACCGGGGGCACCGGTGACAGGAACTTGGGCGACGCGTGCCGAAAACTGTCCACAAACTCCTGAAACAGAGAAATGGCCGGAGTGAACTGGCAGCACAGGCCAGACGGACGCGGGCTCGGGCGCGGCGCAGATGGAAATATCATTGGGGGAAGAACTCGGAACACAAATATGTCGGGTCCCAGGATGAACAGGCAGTAAATGCACATCTTAGTTCACATGGACATCCGTAACACTCCGGACAAAAGATCATTTTAGGAGCCGGGAGCATTACCGAGGCGGCTACTACCGTCACTGTTCACAAAACACCCATTGCCCTGCTCAACTCCAGCTGCTTAATTCATCTAGTTCCCGGCCTTTCACCTCCTCTCGCCCGCTGTTCTCCCCGTTCCCCCCCCCCTTCCTACACCTGTCTGCCCTCCCCTCCCCTCCGTCCCGTCCTCCCCGTCCCCCCTCCGGGACACCACCTTGCGGTCGCCGCGGGACATCTTGAGCATGCGCTCCTGGTACTTTTCGCTGAGCACCGACTGCACCGACTCGTCGATCGACTGCGGGTGCAGCACCAAACACATGGCCAGCAAGGTGTACATCTTGTCCGTCTGTTTACTCATCTGTGGAGCGGCGCGTGGACGGTCAGAGGGGGCTGTCGCTTGTTGGTTATCGCATAACTGGCAGTTTGGCTCAGAATTGTGCGTGACAAGCTGTAATGGTGATGATCAAGAGAAACTGTAGGAAGTTGACAAAGGCAGCAAACTTGATAATTGGAGAGCAGAAACCATCAGCCATTAAAGTAGCGCCGACCGGCGGGGACAGTTGTCTCGGCGCGGAGGTGGCGCCGGCGGTGACTCACGTGCTCCGACTGGTAGCCGCGGCCCTGCAGCTGCTGCTTGGTCCGCTGGATGTACAGCAGGATGTTGGAAAAGGTGCGGATCGCGTCCGCGTACCGGCGCATCATCAGGTAGGCGAAGCCCACGTAGTAGTAGGTGGTGATCTGGCAGGCGGGCACCCGCGAGTACAGCGCCTGCCGGCGCGGGGGCGTCAGGCCGACCACTGAGGGTAGCTGATTGAGGTTACTGGTCGACAGCCACAATTGCAACAAACGTTCCTCTGTTTGTTTCCAACGATCTACTCTCTTCTCCCTCCCGTCAGGACCAGTGTCTCCCCGCGCCTGATGCCGCCGGCGGCCGTCCGCACCTTTTTGTTGAGTTCGATGTTCTCCAACACCTTGATGGCCTGGTAGTAGTCGCCGAGCAGCGAGTGCAGCCGCAGCAGGCCGATCAGGCTGAAGTAGCCCAGCATCTTGTAGAGCGGGTGGCGGCCGAACTCGCCCGCAGCAGAGTCTGGGTTCCCGCCACTCGTGTACACCTGACGGTTGGCGCCAAAAGTCAGACGGGCGCGTCGCGTGAGACATTTGGCGCACGTCTTACGCTCAAATTTCAAATGTTAGACGTTCGCTCGTTTTAGCGTAGGTACCTAACGAAGCACCTTTGGTGCCGTAAGTTTGGTGACCTTTACTGTTGGAAGCTTTCGGCACCATTATTGCTGGTTGAAGTGTTCAGAACTCTCACCTCCAGCTGCTGGTTGATGTTGCTCTTCTCCACCAGCGAGTGCAGCACGTTCAGGACTCCGAGTACGTTCCACACCGTGTGCTCCTTCAGCTGCTCCAGGTCGGACGGCGACTTGTCCGGCTTGTTGCGGTACTGGGTGAACGCCTGGAACTGTAGCACAGCGGAGCGGTAAACGTCCGGCAGCGAGTCAGAGTCAGTCAGTCAGAGTCAGCGGAACGCCGGGGTGTTAGGGACTGAACTGGGGGAGGCGCCTGAAACTATGTCCGGACAGGGCAGCCCGTGTCCCTCGGATTCCTCACCTCCCGTCCCTCTCTCAATCAAGGAGCTACGGTCGACGGGTCACCTCACAGAGCACAACCTGGTAAATAAGCCCGCCAATTTAAAACACTCGTCTATTAAAGAGGTGAGTTCCTGCTAGGTATATTCCTTAACTGGGGGGGTGCTTACCTGGTAAATGAACTCGTCGATGATGTCCCAGAGCCACTGATTGGGCAGCTCCAGACTGATGGGTGTCTCCGACACTGCCGTGGGAGGAGGGGGGGGGGGGGGTCAGTGGTGTGGACGGACTCGGACAAATACGCACCGAGGGGGGGACAGAGCAGCTCTCGGGGTGTGGGTAGAGTAAAGGAGGCGATAGGTGGAGTTATGGAGAGAGGGGAAGGGAGAGCGAGGGAGAGAGGGAGGCGCATGTGTCTGGCGACACGAGACATGTGCGTTGACAGGCAGCATGGAAACGCTAAAGAGAATTCCTTAAACCAAACAAATCTAAGAGCGAACTGCCATCAGCAAGATAGAGAGCAGTGCTAGTAAATCGGTTCCGTTGATGTGCTATGGCTGAGGTTATACCAGTACCGAACTGGTAACTGTATAAGCGGCCGCCGCACGGGATAAGCGCACCGCCGCCGGAGGACGTTCTCGCCCGCCCGGAACTCACTCAGGATCAGGTTGAAGAGACTGCAGTAGTTGAAGAACGAGTGGAACCGGTTCTCCAGCTTGATGTTGGAGGCCGACAACGCGTACAGATGTCTGAAGTAGAGCTCCTTGTACAAAATCAGAAACATCTGCCGGGAACAGGCCACGCCGTCAGCTACAGACAGCAGCCAGCGAGCGAGTCTCAGCAATCAGTCACCAACAGTGAATGACATGCTGACAAAACCACTGGCAAACCTGACAGAAATGGCTCAGAGACTGGTGAAGGTAATTGTAATCTCAAGCGCTCTCCCCAGGCCAGCCTTTCCGCGATAGTACCCTCTGACTCGAAAGAATCACGAGATTTGACACACTCCCTCTCTCCCTCACCATGGATCCGGCCTCGTCGTCGTCGTCTGAGACGTACGGCTGGATCTCCTCCGCCTCCGGCCATGGCTGCTTCTCGAAAAACTCCTGCGTCAGCCGCGGAAACCTGGCGGACAGAGTTAATAAACTCGTGGGTCAGAGTTGGGAAACTCCTGCGTCAGCCGCGGAAACCTGGCGGACAGATTTGATAGAAGTCGTGGGTCATCTGGGGAGTTCGCCTTCAATAATGGAATGTCCTGCACAATGTACACAGTATCTATTCAACTGAACCAAGTTTTTTCCACAATTTTTTTTTTCAGTCGACTTAAGAAATTAGAAAACATTACTAACATTTGTTTACCATTGCAAGTAGGTACCTTTATTTCAGCCAGTGCTAAGAAAGCCCTGCTCAAGACATGACATTTCTAAGATTGTCAGCCCCCGACTGGCTCCCCGTCCGCCCGGCGGGACTCACAGTCCTGATCCCAACATGACATTCATTAGATCGCGCCCCAGACTGGCTCGCCGCCCGGCGGGACTCACTCGTGCTCGTAGAGCTGCTGGATCTCTCCGACGTTCTTGTCGCGGATCATGTTTCGCAGGTGGATGACAAAGCGCCGCACCGGGTCGGGCACCATCTGTCACCCAGGTCAGGTCAGGTCAGGTCAGGTCAGAACCAGTGGCGTTAGGTCAGAGCCGACGGGGCTGGGTCAGAACTATTGGGGTAGTAGGGTCAGAACTGGTTTGGTCAGGTAAGAACCAGTGGGATCAGGTCAAAGCCGCCAACAGGTAGGCTCGGGTTAGAGCCAAAATTATCATTTCACGTGGGAAAAAAAGAAATAATGTCTTCTACACACATATAGGTACGTAGTATGTATCATAAAATATCTTTGTTTATTCATAAATCTTGTCGATAAATCATTAATAACTCATGAACACATATTCTCTGAGAGGATACCAGGTAGCAGCAAATCTCAGGATAGCACAAATAAATCGCCCATCACCAATCCCTCGTGATATAATCATGCCCACGGCCTGAGTGACAGGCGGCGGGACGGGCACTCACACTGTGCTGGGAGTACTGTCCGTACTGCCGCTCGTACTCCATGTCCAGCCGCGGGTCGCCTGTGTGACTCTCATAGCCGTACCCGTAGCCGTAGTCCATCTGGGGGCAGCCGTCAGCCGGGGTCGGTCAGTGCAGGCGGGGCTCATAGGGGTGGATGCGTCTTGTCAGTAACCGCAGGTTGTTGTTTCATTAGACAAACACTATTCGTTAGAATTGTGTTTTTCTATTGAAAAACAACCGGAGCGGTCCTTCTCCGGGCCCGACTGGAAAAAATGCCTCCACTACGCTGAAGTTCTCGGCGGAGGTGATGCGCCGAAATTTCGGCGCAAGGGTTTATGCGCCGAAATTATTTTACCAAGCCTTGCTTCATGCGCCAAAAATTTTCAAGGCTTACTGATGGCTGCAGGCTGTAGCCACGCACTTTTCGTCGAGGGGGGGGGGGGGGGCTGGCGTGTGTGTGTGGCTGTCTTCCAGTGACTACTGTCTACAGACGGTTGTTGGCACGGTCGACGGGATCGGGCAGACAATAGACATCAGCAGGCCATGCGGGACCGAGCACCAGCGTTCGCTATCACAATTCACAAAATCTCCTGACTCACAAACTCACTGGCATGTTCCATAACATAACCTTTATTTTGTTGCCCGGCTCTGATCAGCAGTAGTGCCCAGCCGGTGACTGACGCCTGACGGGGCCTTCAACAGGCGTGGTGCAAGCACGGCCGATGGGATCGGGCAGATACCAGGCCACGCGGGACCGATTGCCGGCGTCCGCTCACAAACCACACGCCGGAAATACAGGAATCACAACGGTCAATACGCACACGATAGCATACGTTATCTGAACTAGGGGATCCGACAATCCATAACCTCACTCTCGATCGGTGAACTGTTCCCGCCGTGGGAGAGTCACAATCAGGTTCACTGAACATGACTTAAATACCCTGAGACGAACACGAGACAAGACAAGTGACATTTAAGATGTTTAACTCCCGAAGACATTTAACCCTCGCCGGCCGAGGGGGTTGGTGCCACCCCCCTGACGGTTTTTTTCGCGACTGCTCCGGAGCCGTTTGCGATAGAGAGATAGAGAAAACTGTTGCGTCCGGCGAGGGTTAACTTTACATGGTCCCAGGTATGGCTGTTGTAATTGGCCAAAAATAATAAAATAAATGAGGGTCATGCAATTTGAGAGCCTGAACTTCTGTGTTGTCCCACCGTCCGCCCTATACGAATATAGCTCATCGCGCAGTCACGGTGAGATTTTTTATTTGTTTGGAAGTCTGGGAGCATACGAATACGGCCGGAAGCACTGGATCAAGGCGAAATTTCGGCGCAGGCTTATTTACGCCGAAGTGCGCCGACATTTTCGGCGCAAGCCGTCGATTTACGCCGAAGTACGCCGAAAATTTCGGCGCAAGCCGTCGATTTACGCCGAAGTACGCCGAAAATTTTCGGCGCAAACGTCCAACTACGCTCGAGTTCTCGACGAAAGCGTGCATTTTTTCCAGTCGGGTCTCCGGGCTACGTTTTGCAAAGTTGGCCTGAGATTGGGGCAACTTGTCTTGGGTCAGGCCTAAACGAATCGCTCAATCTTCGTAATAAGTTCAAAGTATGGGCTCCCGCAGGCGATCTACCTGATGGCACCGGTCGCTACTCGCTTAATAAGGGACAGGTGAGGTAGGTTAAGACTTTTACAGATGCCTTTCACCAGGAAAGGAATAGGCATTGAGCTCTGTCTTGACTGAGCTGGGTCTAGCTGCTGAGTCCAATATTCATCTAAACATTTGGTTAAATCATGGTGCCTATAAAAAGGCTAAATATTCTCTAAATATTTGTCCAAAGTAGGGGTATGGCCTGAGCTATGACAAAATTTGATTAGAAAAAGTGAACAAGCATAATATTGTTGGTAAAATGAGTGTAGGGCATGACTTTGAGCCATGCAGTGCTAACCTCTACTCTGGAGCCAGTTAGTAAGATTTTGGTGACTCTAATTAAGACTAGCTCCTGGAAGAACTGCGCACTCCGACAGACTTTGAACTATAACTTTTATATACTTTGCATGATGTAGATGTCACAAAGCAGCATTTTAATACTGCCAGATGTCTTATATACAACTGGATTAGGCAGAAATGCTGTAAACTCATCTGCAGCTGTCTTAACAATGCCTAGTTTTTATCAACCTCGTCTCATTCACGCAAAACAAGTTACATACCTTGATTCAGGCAGCCTGGCTTTCCTCTTCTACTTATTGGAACTTATCGAACTTATATGACAAAATAAAGTGCCCGGCAGTCCCCTGTTTCACGTCGGCCACGCGGTAAAGATGTAATTGCGTCACAAGCGCCGCGAACTTCCAAATGTGCGTCACGTTCGACTAAAAATGTAGCTACCATATCGCCAGTCAGTAGAGAAAACTAGTACCAATTTTCCTTACGACTGCCAAACACCTTATGATTCCGTCACTAGATGGCACCAGTGGTAAACGCCTGAAGGTATGCTGCACCGCCGGGCACAAACCCAAATAGGGCCTTATAGTTATATTGGTTGTGAAACGGGAGATTCTGTCCCAATTAAAGGGGAGTCGTTAGAGTATGTCAGTTTGTGGTGAGTACGTGCCCTATACCGTTGGTCGGCAGTTCGGCACTCTGTCGTTTCCTTTCTGTTATGGTCCACACTCCACTACTGGGTGGAACTGGAACTGGGAGCCGCCATGCAGGCCGCTGTTATCTCGGCTTGGACGCACTCGGGGAACACCCGCTTATGACCTCGGACGGTGCAGGGGCTCCGTCGGGCGGCGGTCACACTGCCGGCGCTGCCACAGGATGTGTTTACATGTCCGGCCGGGGGTCGGGAGAATGTAGCATTCCTGAACGGCAGCCTCAGCCCGGCCGACAGTGACACTGGCGGCGGCTCCGGACTGCTGAACTGCGCAGTAGCCCCGCGGGGTCATGCAGTCCTCCTTTGTTCCTCAGTCTCGCCGTAAAATGGAAACTGGAAAATGGAAACACCTTGATCTGACTTAGGCTTTGTCTGATTTTTATTTGTTATCTCTCGATCTTTTCTTCCATTTTCACTGCAGGGGGAGGGGGGGGGGTGAAGGGCAAGGGCCGAGTTGGACGCCCCAGCCTCCCGCCCCAACTCCTGGATGTCAGAGAGTTGTTACGATCACAAAGTAGATGAATGTATTTAACTACTATTTACAAAATCCCAAAAACTGGTGAGGAATCACTCGTCCTGATATGCCAAGTTCCTGACTCCGCTGAGATCTTTCGCCCGGTCGTTGGCGTCTTTCTGTTGTAAATGTCGCTGTGTTTCCGCTTTTAGAGCCACGAGAGCAGCCAAATACAGGCAGGCCGCCAGAACGTACTGGCCCGGAAACAGCACAAATAACGCATCTGTGAAAAGAAGGAACAGTCGACTGTGGGAACAAAAATAGACCGCAAAAAACGTAGGTGAAAGCATGGCGACAAACAGGATTGTGCGTTGAATGCAGATTGCAGAAGCAAAAGGGTAAGGCATACAAAACGTGCCAAGACGTTGTTACATTTTTGCACGTAGACTGAGACCTGGTCATATCAACAAACAAGCCATGGTAACCGCCGCCCAAATATCAATACCATCCCCAGGGATACAAGTCGCGATTCAGACTCATCTTTGTAGGTACGTCTATTGCCATTCCGCTCACTGAAAGTCCCCCTCCCCCCCCCCCACCCACTGACCCCTGTAGGCCTGGAGGTAGGAGCGGCCTGTCCGCTGGAAGGCGTCCATCAGGGGCTTCAGCAGCAGCTGCATGTTGCCACCGATGTTGGTAATGACGAAGATGTAGAAGGCGACGGCGGCGTTTCGCAGCTCAGTCGGCGTCAGTTCCACCAGTACCACCAGCGAAATCGGGAACCAGAGCTCGCCTGGAAAACCGGCACAGATCGGAAACCGGAGCTCGCCTGGAAAACCGGCACAGATCGGGAACCAGAGTCCATCTGAGAATAACAGCGAGACCGGGAAATAAGTTCACCTAAACACAGCGAGATCGGGAACCACAGCTCGCCCTAAAACACCGGATGAGTTCGGGAACCAGAGCCCCTCTCTGATGCTGCTGTAGTAGGCGGCCCTCTCACCGATTATATAGCTGGGTATGATGCTGATATAGGCCCAGGGCGGCCTCAGCAGCAGCACGCCGACCACGAACGGAGCGGCCAGCAGCTGGGAGGCGGCCACGGCGCCGAGCCGACCGGCCGGGCCGAACCGCCGGCCAGCGCCGTCCGAGACCAGCCCCCCGAGCAGCAGGCCCAGCGGCCCGGAGACCAGCGGCACCCAGCTCATGTAGGCGCCCACCTGGGCCGCCGTCTGGCCCTGGCTCTCGAAGAACGTCTCGGCGCTGTACGACCAGACGTACACGGCCGCGTTACGGACGGAGCCGGCCAGCGCCAGCAGCAGCAGCGGGGGACGGGCGAACAGCCGGAGCAGGCGGGGCACGGCGTGCGCCGCCGGCCGAGCCGAGTCCGCCGCCGGGGGCGCTGACAGGTCGGCGCGGGGCGCTCACGGAGCGTGGCCAGCATCAGCAGGGCCAGCAGCACGCCCGGCGCGCCCGACACGAGGTACGCCCACCGCCAGCCCTGTGGGACGCGAGGGCGAGGTGATTTAGTTGGTAGATTTTACGGTCTTACGCTTAGGTACGTGGATTGTTAGTTGTTACACATGTGTTGCTTTCTCTCTCTCTCTCTCTCTCTCTCTCTCTCTGTCTCTCTCTCTCTCTCTCTCTCTCTCTCTCTCTCTCTCTCTCTCTCTCTCTCTCTCTCTCTCTCTCTCTCTCTCTCTCTCTCTCTCTCTCTCTCTCTCTCTCTCTCTCTCTCTCTCTCTCTCTTTCTCTCTCTCTCTCTCTCTCTCCCTCTTTCTCTCTCTCTCTCTCTCTCTCTCTCTCTATCTCTCTCTCTCTCTCTCTCTCTCTCTCTCTCTCTCTCTCTGTCTCTCTGTCTCTCTCTCTCTCTCTCTCTCTCTCTCTCTCTCTATCTCTCTCTCTATCTATCTCTCTATCTATCTCTGTCTCTCTCTCTCCCTCTCTCTCTCTCTCTCTTCCCCTCACCATTCCCATGATATCTGCCTCTGTGATAAAGTCGCCGACTGCGTAGGCCAGCGAGTACCCGAAGTAGATGCCCCAGTTGTAGACGCCGAGCGCTGTGCCGCGCAGCTCGGGACTGAAGTAGTCGGCCAGCAGCGAGGTGGCCAGGGGCGTGCAGCCGGCCTCGCCGAACCCGACTCCGAACCTCAGCGCGGCCAGCTGCCAGTACCGCTGGGCCAGCCCGGTCAGCAGCACGCAGACGGCCCAGACCAGCAGACAGGCGCACAGCAGCAGCTGCCGGGCGGAGGAGATCGGAAAATTCGGGAGACGGGGCGCTTCAGCAGACGATTTGATTCAATAGCTCTATTGCGATGAGCTTTTTCATGTTTCACTTTTTACTAGGTAATTCGCTTTTTGACTTGCGATCAACATGGAAACGAATCAGATTTTGTTCCAACATTTCTTTTCGATCGTTGCAGAGATATTTATTTTTGAATAACGATCCCCGCTCAGTCTTCATTTTGTCGACGAAAAAATCGCTCATCATATTTACCCGAAAATAGCACACATAAAACACCACTGCCATCGGTAAGTGCTGTATTTGATTCTGTGCACCTTTCTGTTGCAGCGATCGGCGGCGAGGCCGAGCGGCAGACCTGCCACGGTGAAGACCAGCGTGAAGACGGGCCCGGCCAGCAGGTCGTACTGCAGACCCGTGCCGGTGTAGTCCCAGCTGCAGCCCGCCACTCCGGCACGGTCAGCCAGGGTCACACAGCTGCCGACAGGCGAGGGGTTTCGGTGGAGTGGGGGCCAGGGGGGATGGTTCGGACGTTAGAATGTAAGCACGGCTCGGTAAGATCACCCCTCCCCCTCTGCACTCGTAGCCACCGCCCTGCCCTCACTCCCGTCTGCGCTAAGCCCATTGTGTCGTGTGTACCCCCCCCCCCCCTCTCCCCCCACCTGAGGCTGTCGGTTGCGTTGGCGCAGTCTGCGGCAGTCAGAGAGGACTCGGCCGAGACGTTGAGCAGACAGCCCCGGTCGCCGAAGTGGATCTCCTGGGCGGAGGGGCGGGCCACCACGGCCAGCATGTAGCGGTCCATCTTGCTGAGCAGGTAGGCGGCCATCAGCAGCAGAAGCACGTACAGACTATACGGAGACTGGCGCAGCAGCGCGCACGGGCCGCCGCCCCTCCGAGGGGCGCGCGCTCCCTCCGAACCACCTTCTGACGTCACCATGACGTCACACAGACGGTAAAGTGACGTCACAAAGCCTCCCCGGTGCCAGACGTCGACTACCTTTACCAGGAGATCAGTGGGTTGCTGGTCCGCCCACGATGTGAGTTTATAGGACGTCGGACGGCAACAGCCGTCACATGGGACCGTTCCACCAGAGACCACTTCTAACGCACGATCTCGCCGCCACAGATACGCTGCTGTTTTTCACTGCCGGGAGTGGACACTGACGGCCCTCGGTCGACATCAGCTGACCGTTATCAGCGCAGATCACGGCCGTCAGCTGACGGTATCTGTCCTATCGGACAGCAGGTCACCGCGGGCGCGCTCCTCCGGAGGTGACCATACCAGTTGACTGGTTTGTCGACACGGCTCATCCGTTTATCCTTGGCGCACTCAGATTAAGCGTAACGCTTGTGTGCGAATGACGATTACTCATTAGCTCATTAGCTAAAAAAATGTTTTGATTCATCATCAGCCAGTAAGAAAAAAGTGAAAAGTGAATTATGGGGACAAATTGACTCCGGATACTCCGCCGAAACCGATCATCAAAACAGACGAGCTGTTTGAAACAGATTTTTTTGCGCCAAATTTAAAAACAGCATATCACGTACGCATGCTGACTTGCGACAGGATGGCTACGTGGCTGGCTTCCTAACTATAACCAATCCATAACCGTACAAATATTTGAGGTTCTAAGCCAATTAACCGGCGCCGGGCCGTGGACCCCCCCCCCCCTCCTGTGTTTTTTTTTCACAGATATCTCAAATACTGCGGTGCAAGGCGCCACCATTTTTGGCACACCTATTTATGCATTTTCAGTGTTTACATTATTTATTGATGTGTATACCCATTGCCCACTACCCAGACTATTGTCCTTTTAACTGCATGACTCACTGCATGACTTATTATTGAGCATAATGCCTGTTGGTGTTTTTTTTTACAATAAAAATAAGCATAAACATTTTTTCCACGCATTTGTAAAAATGCCTGACCCAGGTCGCTCAAGGTCAGGTCACCAGGTCACGTCAAGTGACCTCACCTCAGAAAGTTAGAATGCTCGTCATAGCTACAACACCGATGGAACGATCTCCTCGAAACTTTCAGCGACTGATTGCATAACATGTACATACGTACAGGTCTCGCGGGTTTTAAGGGTAGGTTTTGCCTTTCCGGCTATATCTTTTTCGTCTTTAGCTTTGTAGGCTTGAAGATGTGACCAAGTTATTCGTATGGCTCCCTACCATGATCATGGAAAAAGGTTTGATCGTATGCCGGCTAGTTTCGGAGAAATTCAAACAAAACCTCAAAATCCGCCGTTTGGGGCATTCTGACCGCGGCTTCCCTGCAGTCGCCTATGACTACAGTGGTGCCACCCAACGGGTAGGACGCTGAAACACAGAGGCATGAATGAATCCAGCGCGTGGTGAACGGTGGATAGAGGCGGGACTCGGCAGAGGCTATCACTGCGGCTCGCGCAGGGCGTCCTTGGACACCGGGCGAGCCTTCGGGCGGTGAGGCCAGAGGTCACGACAGCCAGGCGCTGTTTGGCGTGAACGGAGGGGAGGCGCTTGCCTCCGCCAGCCTCGCCTCAGCCAACTTAGCCGGTTTGGTGGTAGTGGTGGTGGTGGTGTGTGTGCGTGGGGGGGGGGGGGCAGGCGGGAGGGGCTAGAACAAACGGGATAAAATAAAATGGAAACGTCTTGCTATGGTCAACTTACAATATTGTTTACCTAATAAGCATTTACCACCATTTTATAATAAGCATTTATTTAGTTCGGTATTAACATTACGAAAAAAAAACATATTAACTTGAGAAATATACAGGAAATATTATTTTTCGATGTTACCGTTTACTTTTAATGAAATTTAAACCCTACTTCTTATCATGGGTGTTAAAATGAACCCCTCTCCTTGGTTTTTCCTGAATAACTCGCGTAAAAAGTGGCGGATCGCAGCGAAGAGGTGCCGTAAGTTATTTTTCTTAGTATAAGTAAATAAATACCCATGCGGTCAGGACTCAGGAGTCAGGATAAGTTCAGACCATCTGCAATTTGAAAGTTTACACCTACCCTGAAAATTTCATGACCCTGACCAAAATGACCTTTGGTCTGTGACTAGTTTTTAGAGCCCATTACAGGCCAGAACGGGCATTCGGCGTGTCAGGTCTCACTAACCGTTCGTTTCTAGACTTGTGATAAGAAACGTCCCAGCATGCGAAATGGTGTTTGGTTCCTTGTGTCTTATTTGGCCGGGACCAGGGGAGGAACTTGGCCGGTGCCTTCAGGGCTGCTTAACTACAAATTTGCAGATCTGTGAAGCGCAAGGACCCGATCTAGCCAGGTTCACAACCACTAGGAATGACATTGCGGCACAGCCGGTCTTCAAGGTTTCCGTGCCTCTAGAATATCTGCAGTTTAGCTACCGGTTTCCGGTCACGTGTCCTAAAGGCGAGGTAACTAGCGATTGAAATGGAAACACGTTAAACAGGCTAGCTGTGAGAAGGATTAGGTTCATTTCAAATCCGTGTTTGTCGCTAAATATCTGTACCGACCGTTTTCTAAAAAGGTTAATTTATCCCCTCTCCCCCTCTCTCTCCCTCCCTCTCCCCCTCTCCTCCCCCTCCCTCTCCCTCTCCCGCTCCAGCTCCCTCTCCCTCTCTCTCTCTCTCTCTCTCTCTCTCTCTCTCTCTCTCTCTCTCTCTCTCTCTCTCTCTCTCTCTCTCTCTCTCTCTCTCTCTCTCTCTCTCTCTTATACTGAAAGCTCCATAAAAAGGTCACGACAAAAACTTCTAGGCAGGTCTCGATCCTTCCGACTTTTGCGTCATTAAACTGACTTGGAAGGTCAACGTATGACCTCTGGTCAACGAATGATCTATGACCTAAAAATTGGGTATCATCGGCTTTCTCTCGTCACGTGCAACATGCTTCTTCTTTTCAAGAAGCTCTAGTTTGATTGCAGAAGCCGATCAACTGTGGGGTCTGATCCACCCCCGCCAGCGAAAACGCCGGCGGGGGTGGATCAGCGTTAGCGCCTGCGAAAACGCCGATATCGGTGCGAGTATGGCATATTCCGTTATAAACAATGTTATGTTTTGCTTTTTTAGCGGCTCACATCGATTTTGCTCTAGAAATAACGAAACAAAAATCAGCTTACAGTGATATGGCTTAAATTTTTACGCCTAGTTTCCTTTAAAAAAAAAACTAACTGCATTCATGCAACGTATTTCTTTGTCAGTTTTGTGACAAAGTTTTGGAAATATAGTGCAGCAGAAAACAAAACTTTGTTGTGGAACGAACTCCAGCCTCAGCAGGTCACGGTTAAGCCTCGCCCGTTGGGGGGGGGGGGGGCAATATGCCCCCTGTGTTTTTCCTGAATAACAAGAAAACAGCGGCGCACAGCCCCGCCGAACTTTCAGTACTTCCCGGGCATCAATTTGACACCTTCACAAAAAAATTCAAGTCTTAGCTTACCTTAGGTCATGAGTTATTGATGTCAAACTGAGGCCATGTTCGAGCAAAAATGAGCAGAAACATGAAATCTTGAAACGCTCACAAAAGCTACAGTTAACAAGCAATTTCTAACTTCTTTATCTGGTCATGTAAAGAAAAAATGGCGATACAAAACTGCAATCTGGGATTTTCAAAATATTGTGCTTTTTACCTCAGAAATAAAACTTTTTCTATAAAATAGAAAAAAAAATCGAATTTCAAAAAATGGAATATATGTGATAGTCTCTGCTCTCTTCTATCTGCATACTAAATTGTAGATCGATACCTCCTTTTTTGGCCAAGTTATAGCGAAAAAAATCTTCAAAATTGATAACGTCAAACTTTCAAACTCAATTTTTAGGAATTCTAGACCACGTAGCGCAAAACAAAGCCCAACATTAGACTCTCCGTGGCCAGCTGCATCGCATCAATATGCAAAATATGCAAAATATGCAAATTGCAAAATATGCAAAATATGCAAAATATGCAAAATATGCAATATGCAATTATGCAAAAATTTCAACTTTAAAATTTGAAAGTTGAACATTTGAACTTTTACAGGCATTTGACCTGACCTTGGCCTGACCTTCACCAGAACATAACCTAAACTGGTCCCAAAGGTTACCTGACCCACATAATCGCATTTGCCATGAAAAATGGACCAGAAAACATGCATCACATAACATTTTCATATTGTGACCGCAGTGACCTGACCTCTGTGACCTGATCTGGTATCGGTGACCTCGAATTTCCTCATCGATGAATGACATGCATTTTACTCGATTTTACAACATATTTCTTGAAATGCCTGTAAACGGTGAAAATTCGACATCTGACCTAACCTGTGACGTCATCGCTTTGACTAAGGTCAATGAAATTGGGTCAAAAGTTATTCCCCCGTTGGGACTATCCAACACCATTTGCTGCTTGTCGCTATGTTGCGTGGTTCTCGAGATCATAGGAGGGGGGGGGGGAAACAAAATGCCCCCCCCCCAGCGTTGCTCGGTAGAACCTAACGGGGCGCGGGTTAAATGACATAACTGCTCCCAAGAAATAACATTACAGCCGTCTCCCGGCCTCAATGGTAAGCGGCTAAAATTTTGGACGACTACCTATGGATCGGCACGCTGCCGGCTCACCCCGCCCGCTGGCTACGGGTGGCCTTGGCCGTTCAATGCCGATTGGCCAACGGCCGAGGTCGTGCGCTGGTCAGCACGCAGAGAGGACGGGACGCGGTACTGCGTATTGTGAGTGACCTCTGACCTTTCCCCGTCCCCTGACCGCATGCCGTGTCGCCTGCCCAGACGATAAAAACCGGTTCTAGCCTTTACGCAGGCTGCCACTCTAACCCTCCCCTCCCCACTTTACTATGTGCCGTAGTACGCGCTCGCGAGTAACTGGGCGGAGCAAATGGTCACCAATACAGAGGCGGAACTGGCTGCCCTCCCGCTCGCCGAGCGACCTACCGCTAAAACCCGCGAGACCTGTACCTATACTCGTATCTCGGAGTTTTAATATCGGTGACCGAAGTTCGCATACTTTACAAGTGTCGGCAGTCGGCACCCAAACTGTGCGGCAGGTAGGCTCGTCGGGCCCCGACCTGCCTGTGATTTTTTGGCAGGACATATATACGGTAAGACAAGTAAAGGAGTTGTTACAATCTCAACGACACACTTTGGTAAAGGTACAAAAATGTAGCGGTTATCATTCAGAGCACACAAATTGATTTAGCGTTTTTGTTTCCAAAATTAGTTTTATCTTCCTTTCTTCAACACAGCCTTGGCTGCAAAGGAAAGGCCGTAATGAATCGAAACTGAATGCCCAAGTCCTTCTACTCTCCAGCAGAACAAAGATTGCTCTCATTAACCAGAATTACACGAACAACGGGATGTATTTAACCCTAGTTTGTCAAACACCTCGTGTTAGTTCCAGCTGGCCTGCTCCGGCGGCATTTCCATCATACACTCTGCAGTGAGCACCAGTCCGTCCACAATCCGGCCGCACCCAATTCCCTTGTTAGATCCCTCCCGTCTACACTGGTACGAGAAGACAGCTCTGCGCCTCCCCAGACACAGCCGTCGGTGTTGATATCGACCTCAGTCCGTATCCGTCAGATCAGCAGAGCACGGAGTGTGCTATCACTGTCGGTAGCTCGCGCGGACGCAGCGGTCGGCTCCACCGGAACAGGACAGCCTGGTGCAGCACCAGCCGAGGAAAGTCGGCTGGCACAGTCCGGTGGAGTGGTGAGCACACCAGTCAGAGCAGCTCGACAGACACTCGTCTGAAACGACCACGCCGGTCAGCCACCGGGCATATCCGGCCTACATCACCGGCTAGGGGACGCAGGATGATTCAGATTTCAGCTAGCCGGCATTTTCTTAAATGTCTCATTTAATGTCTATTTCAATTTTCCTTGTCGAAAATAAATATTTTTTTTTGTTGACACATGTTAATAAATTACAGCAAAGTTCCATAGCAAACTATGTAGGTACTGGCAATTCACATAAATCTTGCTGACACATTTCTAGTTTCTACATACATTTTTAGCTTTTTAGGTGCACTCTAAGTCGGCTTATTTTTAGATCTACATAGTTTGCATACAGGTGACCTACGACCTACGACATACCAATGTCTGACGCTGACCTCTGTGTCATCTCTGTCCTACATAAATTACGACTGAAATACCCCGTGTATGTAGACTATAGCTGCAGGCCGGCGGCACTCACTGAGGCTGAGCGGCCGGCACTGAGGTCGACAGGTGACCCCCGTTGGAAGCAGGCCGCCGTCACTCGGCGGCAGGCAGAAGCACTGCTGACCGGTAACGTGAGCGCCGCACCGATCGCCGTACACGCCGCACCGCGTCTCTGAAACCCCGCGCGTCCGGGCGAATACCCGGGAGATTATACGGTCAGCAGTAATTATCTAAAGGGTCTGGAAACTGTCGATAGTCGCTCAAAGCACCTTAAAGCATTAGTTATGTAACAAAAGTTCCAAAATATCAAGATGAGAATCACGTATGTATTGAAAATAGAAGATAAGAGGCAAGAGCTGAATAGTTATGTGGCAATTACCTAATACTATCAGTTTTCAAAAAACATAGTTGCATTATACAATTTTGCAACGTTATGAATGAAATTAAATCCCTCAAATATGTTTCGTAAACACAGGGCGGCTACCTTTAAAAGGCGCTTTAGCGCTTATTTAGACCGCCGATCTCACTTACCGAGGCCGGAGCAGCGGGGACAATCGATTCCTGAAATAGAATATAGATAGGCATGGGAAAAGTTTTCCAGATATGAAACACAAATAGTCTATCTGAAATCTTGTAGTCGCGGAGTAATCTTAGTCTTTTGTACCGTGTACGCACAGGTATGCACAAAAAATATTTAAATAAACATTGTTATAATCAAATGCCGAAGCACTCTGGTGAACAGCATTATATATAATGTATTTAATGGAATAACCTTCTGTTCAAAATCCTAAAAATTGCCAAAACCTGCCAAAAAACACTTGAATATATTTCGGAGGCGTTCCTTATCGGTTCAAGTAATGGAACCGATGAAGGAATGCCTCCGAAATATATTCAAGTGTTTTTTTTTTCATTTTTGTAACTTTTGCCAATTCTTAGAATTTTGAACATAAGGTTATTCCATTTAATATAAACATTGTTATCGTAAAACCGGCCCTGTAGTCAATAAATTAATGCTGATTATGTAAGGACATATTTGTGTTATTTGTGTTATTTGTGTTACGGGTAGTTTTTATGCAGAAAGTTTTTAACAGTTTTTTTCGCTATAACTTGGCCAAAAAAGAGGTATCAATCTCATCATAGATATTCAGTTTTTTTTTCGAAATTCGTAAAAATGCTCGGGATATTTTGACTTATTTATCCAAAAAACGACTTTTTATTTTTGGGGGCAAAATCCAACAATTTCAAAAATTGGTGGTAGCATTTTATACCAAGCCCTGTTAATTCTACACCTTCTCCGTTGAAACATTTACGGTATCTTCAAAGCTGTAGGCTGACAGCTCTTCCCGCGAAACCTCCTTTTGGTCGAAAATTGCAGAGCATGACGTCATTATGACGTGACTTTCGGCTAAACTATCATACCCTCTGGATTCTGGAAACAATTAAAACATTGATGCCCGGAGGGGTCCTGAAAGTTTGGTGACGATATCTCCAGTCGTTGAGAAATATCTTATCTACGGAAAAGGACAAGGGAGGCCGTTTCGGCCCTCCTACGGGGTGTGGAATTATGCTCGTAAGTCCTCATGTATGTAATGCTCAAGGCTGTTTGTTCTTGTTTAGGTTAGAAAAAACTTAGTGTTAAATGATCCCGTGTTGCATCGAGAGTACATGAACCTCCAGGCTCCACGAATCAAACAATTAAAACAGTTACATTAAAGGCGTACCGGTTTCGTCGGCGGCGTACAACGGCGCTGAAGAAGTCTAATAGACGAAACCGGTACGCCTTTAATGTAACTGTTTTAATTGTTTGATTCGTGGAGCCTGGAGGTTCATGTACTCTGGATGCAATACTTGTCCATTTATTACTACAAATGATCCCGTGTACCTATTAGCAATAATTATTTGTAGTTACTTCTTTAATATTAGTTTTTTCTTCGAAATGCTGTAGCGTGTTTACGTTATGCCCTTATCCCTACCTGGTGTTTGGCAGGCATAACACGATGAACCTGAAACAGAGAAAACACGCAAACATTATTGAGAAAAGTAGCCACAGCATGTAGGTACAAACGTCCGTTGTCCAATATCTGTCAATACACTATGCATGCATTAGATTTTGACAGGAGCCCGTCTGTTTTTCACGTGTGCCACGTTTCGAAGTCGATTCGATGGGCTCTAACGGGAACAGCTAATGCTACGATGCCAGGTCATTCTTACCATTGCAACGACATATGATAGGACTTATGCCTTATGGTAAACATCGAATATTGACAGGGCTCGGACCCCGCAAGACATGGTAGGTACTATGATGCAACAATACATATGCATCATTAACCCACGTATGGCTGGGGGGGGGGGGGGCTCTACAGACCCAAAGCCCCTTCCCCTCCCGTTCCCTGCTGAGTATAAGCGCTATCATCTAAACCAGAGTAGGTTAGGTTAAAATTTCGTAGCTAACATGGGGCGGTATTAAATGACGTCAGAGTGTTGTCTTGTTCACTGGCGGATCGAGGGGTGGGTATTTGGGGGTAACGACCCCCCTTCCGGCCCCCGCGTCGCCCGAAATCGAAAATTTACAGTTTTTTTCAAGAACAGAAAGAAAATAAAAACTGTTATTTATGAAAGGTTTAATTGATACCGCACTGACTAGGAGGGCGTAAGGAGCGGAACCCGGGAGTTATTTTTGAACCGAAAAAAATAGGGATAGGTATGGCCCCGCAGCGTGCAAGACCGACTTTCTGGATCCCCCAGTGGTCATGTTCGGGCGAGTCATTCAAGCCCAGGAGTCAAGCCTTTCGATCGACTTACCGGTGGCAGTAGTCTTTACCACAGCAATGCTTATAACCAAACACATCACTAAGGATCTATGCATGTTTGTATGAGCTTATGGCGACGAATCAAGCAGAAAGCTCTTCGAACGGCAGCTGCAAACTCCAGCAGTTCCACTCTACGTGACTGTGGCTGCCTCCAAAGGTCTAGCGGCATTTACGTCTCACCTGGCCTTTTATACGGTGTCCGATAATGCAGCTCATAATTACCCCGTGTAGCCCCGTGCATCGTGGTGTGACTCGTGACTGACATCCCGCTCGCGGCTTACGGCCGTTGCATCATCCGACATTTAGAGTTCACACTGCATGCATGGCCCAGCCGAGCCTCGCAATCCATTCTAGCCAAGGCTAAAGCGCAGACGCCGGTGCCGCATGACCTTCGAGTTGTCCTTTCGGCGGAGCCAGCTGGATTAGATATGCATGTACAATGTATGTGCCTACTACATGTTTTGTTCGTTGGCGCACCAAAGTTTTGTTCTTTTTATAGAGGCAATTATAGTGTCAGAGGACACATTACTTTTTCAACTAATGCCTAGCTCGATCAGGGAACGAACGGCTCATTTTCCCTTTTCATGAAGGAATAGGGGACAAAAGATATCTGACAAAAGATTGGTACCTAGGGCTCACGAAGCATTGGTAGGGTCCAAATTAACATTTTTATGGCTTGGGCCCTACCGAGCCCATACAAAACGACACCCCTGTGGCCTGTGGATGAGGTTATGTTACTGGCGGGTTCGCTTTTCCAGCCAGCAAAACTAGTCTGCCCGTATCTTGTTTTACTCTGGCTAGCTCCGGCACTCACTCCGGCAGATATGGAAATACGGGCAAGGTCTGGAGCTCTACTGGAGCCGACACACGAAACCAGAGCTCGCCCGCACCACAGCCGGACTTATGCCGCATCAGCCGTGCCGTACCTCAACCGTACTTTAGCCACAGTAAGCCAGGACAGCTACGAGGCAGCCGAACCTGGTCTTAGCAGGCCGTGGCAGGGAGCCGGACTTGAGCTGGACTCGGCGTTCCGAAACCAAACCAAGTCCGAAGCGCTACGGCAAAGACTGGCTAACCGGAATGGAGCCATTTCGACCCAAACCCCCTGTTCCGACGGCGTTCCGTTTACACCGCACCGGCCCAAACCTGGTATGTCGCAGTGGCCGGGGCAAAACGGAAGAATAAACAGCATGCCTTCGTTACTATGTTTTTTCGGGCTGACGAGCGCAACACGGCTATAAGATTACGAGGAAAGTGCAATCACCACTGCAGCACTGCCCTTAATTAATGATTCAGAACTGGTGGTGTGAAATTATCTAGAAACCAGATGAAAGTTGAAACGAAGCGAGTGAAACAAAATAATACACAATTGGAAAGACGGTGTGTGCAATACAATTGTAAATTTGAATTATTATTGACATTGTTAAAGTACATATTCGTATAATCGTTTATTTGGTTGCAACTAAAAATAGCATACGTCAAAACTGAAACAACTCGGACCGCAACGAATTGTCATTTCTCGTCATCACGATTTCTATGCTTCGCTAGCATTTGATAGCCTATGTCTGTCCATCGATATGATTTATTACAGCGTACTGCCGCAAGCCACTTAGAATTTGACAAATGACGAAGCACGACTTGAGGCACATGCTGTGGCTAGCCATTGTCATGTGGCAGCAGGGTTGAATTATTATCGCGGTATTACGTCTAATGCGAATTATTATTGTCCAATAATAACGTATTGCTGATGCGAATGTTTCAGCTGATTTTTTCCTCACTCCAAAAATACTGGTCCAAAGAAAGACATTACAAGCATACATTTTATGAATAGTAGGTTAAGCTAAGCACGTTTACCATCAAAAGACCCTGGATATTGTTTACCGTGGTACAAACGTGTCACCAAATTAAAGCCAATGCCACGACGTGTCATGACTTATGACTTAGATCAACAATAAGCAATGACAACCCCGCTGGTCAGCCGGTGGTATGGCGTTCCTCTGCTCAGTTCTTCTTTCCCTTGCGGCAGTACTTGCGGTTGGCACAGGGGCCGCTCTTGCAGCACCATCCCTGGAACTGGGGGTGGCAGCCAGCGCCGGGGAACGAGCCCTTCACGCACCAGCCGCTGCAGATGCGCAGACACTCGTCTGAAACACGGGGAGGGTGCTCTGCAGTCAGCACGGCTGCACATGGGTGGGGGCCATTCACAATCCGTTTTTTGACTAGCGACGTGTGCAGTCCAACAGTCCATGGCATTCATACCGATACGAAAAGATAAAGCCATGAAGAGCCTTGAACGACATTACCATCCTCAAGGATAGGATTGGATGGAGGTTACATTTACAACTGAAAAGGCCACAACCGTTACTTTGGGGATGCTCAGTCAGCAGCATATTAATGTCTGTCGGTCGTCAGCTATTTGGGACATTTATTGAGGGACGTACCCAGCTCGATGGGTCGGAGCTGCGGCCCGCAATATACGCCGACAAACGGGTGCGGGTGTGTGTGGTACTTGGGCAGGCAGAAGCACGGCTTGCCGAAGTAGTGGTGGCCGCACCACTGACCGTACAGGCCGCAGTACATCTCTGAAATGGAGAGGCCGGCCGCGCCATCAACCGGTGACTGCAGGGAGGGGGCTGATATCAAATATCATCTAACGACATCTAATGAGAAATTGGCATTTCTATTGTACAGGGTGTCTCAAAAGTTCGTTCACAGGTACTAGCCATGCTTTTTTGTCAATAATTCTGAATCAACAATTAATTAACCGTCGAACTTTTGCATGGGCATTCGTAACAACCTTCCTCAAGCAGTCTCATTGTTTTCAAGCGCATTCGACCCTTCATGAGCTCACAAAAAGGGTTCATCTCTGACCATGGGTCAGGCATGAAAATAGAGGTCGCAAAATCGTGTCGGCTGAGAAACTCTATATTTCAGGAGTAATGGGAATGGTTAAGTCGGAAATGACTCATGGCAAACTGTCGGCGAGGCTGAGTACAACATGATGATCATCTAATAAAAACGGTGGCTAAAATTTTTGAAGGACAAAACCATGCGAGACTAACAGCGTTTTGAACGACCCTCGTACGACAGCAGACTCGTGCTCAGGAAAGCAGCTTAAAATGAAGTTATAACTATTGAAAACTGACAAGAAGCTAACAGACAGAGGTTACCCAGTTTCAAAAATTGCAGGTCATCGTAAAATAATGATAAAGTATCATTTTAAATTGTTTATTATATCTATAACGCTAAATTTTAGGGGAAAAACACGAAAATCGTCAATGCCAAGGACAAATGACCCTCCAAAAGTGTCAATTAATGTAAATTTTTATCTTACGAAGTTTCATGAGGCAGATCTGGAGCGAATAGCTTTCTTTTAGACACAAAATCCCAACAAAACCGCACGATGGACAGGTTTTGGCCGTTTACCAAGCAGAACCTCTCCTGAGGAAAACACTCCGCAACCCAGTGAAGATCTTGTCATGGGGAATGATATTGATGAGCGTTTGGGATTTGCAAAATTTGGACAACGTGTCTAAGAAACAGATGGCCGACACATTCTTCTACAATATGCTGCGAAAAATTTGCCCCTGGAACTTCCCATTTGTTCAGGAATGGGGTTGTTTTGAAAAGGAAAATGGTGCTTGGGAGGTCGGCGCCAGTCATTCATGAAGGAGTTAGCGCCAGAGAAGACCTACAAAATACTCACGGATGGTGTCGATGCAAGCTGACGGCTTTCAGGAAGAAGCGGATGTTGCCGGGGAGCTCGTCAAACCTAAATCCGACGCAGAAACTGCAGGGGATTCCCCTATACAAGAGCTTGAAAGCTGGTAACCTTTTATCAGCCTCCGGCAGCTGACGGAGCGACGAAAATCGGTATGGACAAATATTTTTGGAGATACAGCAAATAGTTTGATTTCCAACCTTCCGAATCAGTTGTCAAAGCATGCATATTTGTCTAGTGTGCACACAGACACCAAAACCTTAGATTTTTGGCCGGTTCTTATATGTTTTATGGGCATGGAAAATGTGTGAACGAACTTTTGAGACACCCTGTATTGCTCTTTGGAAAGGAATACGATACCTACAGTGTAAATTGTAAATTAACTTGTTTCAAATGAGCACCTATGTTCTTCATTCATTTCAGTTATGCACGGGAAGGACATAATGGTGGACATGCCACGGCTCGTGCTGTTAGATAAGCGACAAATTGTGTGCTTTTTTATGCTAATACCTACACCCGACGTTGAATGCACAGGCAAACGGTTTCAGGAGGCAGGCGTAAGGCATCCGTAAAATTTATACAACCTACAGCATGGCGTGAAGGAGCTGTCAATGTGCTTACGTGGGTTTTTGCAGTTCGGCCAGGATTTTGCTGAAACAGACAAAATAATACCTTATACCAGCATTGATATAACGCACTGTGTTACTAGACAGTACACTCATGGGCTTTAGCATGATCACAGATGGCAACAAAGCTTAATCAAGAGCTTTAATGCTAGCGATAATAAACATTTAATGCAGTATCATGCACTGAGTACCTAGTTTTAGCGCAGCCTTTGTGATTTGCAGTGTATAGGTAATTACTTGCTCTTCCATAATAAATACCAAGATTCCCATAAATACGGTCGTCCAACAGGTACGGGTGCTTGGTCCATAGCATACCGTCTAATAAATACGAACTCCCGGACTCACCTTCTGTCGAAGCGAAAGCCGAGAGAAAGAGAAGACAAAGCACCAGCATCCTGGCTAATTCCTACAGAATACAGATGCTGAGAATTGGGTAGTCTTGAAAACGAAACAGCTTCAGAAGTGGCTGCCGTAGGTATGTCGCTTGTTTGGGGCTCTTGGTTTTATAGCTAGGTACCTACCTACCTATTAGTTTGTCAGGGTGACTCAACCTGGGTTGACCTTTAGGGCCTCAGAAAATGTCATATCGACAAAAGCAATAATACTAGGCTGCGCCACCGCAGACCACCTTTAGCGAGGCGCCTGCGCAGTAGCTGGCACCTGTGTGGGCCCACGGTCTGTTGGACCGTGACTCGTGACTGACACGGCTGATGACACCGCCGATCACCGAGTGACACCGACTGACATCGCCGAGTGGGACGGCTGACGACACTTCGCTGATGACACGGCTGACGACATCGCTGACACGGCCGTCAATCACAGCCGGCTGAGGCGGGCGGTGTCACTGCTAGTGTCAGTGTCATAGTCAGTGTCAGTCAGTAGATGCTCACACATAAGTGCTACGTCAAAAGGCGGTCACTTTTAACACGTCAAATAGCCGGTCATAAGTACAATGTATATTACAAGACGGTCACATAAATATGTCAAATCGACGGTCTCATATAACGCGTCAAATAGGCGGTCATCGATGCGCTAAGAAGATAGTATCAGTTTTTATATGTGTTCCTTAGACGGTCACATGAGCTGCAATATTAAATGTTTACAACAGTGAAAACTGTAGGTATCCTGTATTTAAGCAGCCCCAATGTGTTAGGAAGAGCGGTACGTGCACGCCACAGGTCACCACAAATGACAATTACAGTCTTGATTCTAATCGGAAGGATTTAGGGTCAAATCGATTTACCGATCTTGAAGCACTATCGCCTTTACATTGAGCAATTGATTACGAGCGTGCGAGCGCAGCGAGCGAAGTGAGTCTTTTCAATATAACGGAAAAATCTCAGTATGAGCGGCCCGGCCCGGCCCGGTCTGTAATGCTTTTGAGAGGCTTATATCTTAGCAGCCGCTGGACCGATTGGCCTGCGGTCTTTTTTGCTGGGTAGCCAAGGGCTCCGCCACCGGGGGGGACGGGTGGGACATGTCCCCCCCAACCAAAATGTTGGGTGGGACATACTATCTTTTGTCCCCCCCAATAATCGGCTCCTCCGCTGGTAGATAAATCGACTCTTGTTCCTGACACCGAATACAGAACATAAGTGCAAAGAATCTCCGAAGAAAAAAACGTGATGAGAATCTAATTAACCTGTCGTCGACAACCTATATTGTCGCCCTGTGCTTTAAGTTTTTTTCTGTTATGGGGGCCACAGATTTCAATTTTTTAGTAGACAATATCGACAGGCATTTTCGCGTTAGGTATATCAACGTGAGTCTACTGCAACGAATGTTCGCAATCATACGTCCCAGTCCGATGATGAATCCAGTAGGTATATACTATATCCAGTAGGTAATCCAGTAGGTATATCAAATAAGGATCTCTCAAATTCAATCAATTAAATAATCAATACGGAGATTTTTTTCGGGTAAACGCTGTCGTTCTTTAAGAGGAAACTTCCATCGGTCAAATAAGAATATCGCAGAACTGTAGGATGAGAGAAGCTGTTTGTTTCAAGTGTTTGAGAGGTTAACCCTCGTTCATATATGGACTATGGTGGGTCGGATTGACCCACCCCTCAGTTTTTCACAAGTAACTCGCGTAAAAAGTGGTTTATCGTGACGAAACTATTAGTATTTCCCGGGAATTTTGCACATCCTCTGAAAATTTCATGATCCTAAGTCCTAACCCCATGGGCCATGACTTTTGGGCCTGTGGCCTATTTCTGGAGACCATGTCAGGCCGAACCACCGATTCGGTGTATGTTAGCGCACATTATCTGTACGTTTCCAGACTTGTTATGTCATAAAACCGAGCCAACATGTGAAATGACGGTAGACACATGCATTCTGGTAGGTGTCAAGGTCACGTGAATTAGACACATGCATTCTAGTAGGTGTCAAGGTCACGTGAATATCAGGTCAAGGTCATTACCGTTAGATGAATTTGGTTCACTTTTTCGAGCTATGCATGTTACTAGGAAACTTTTTGGAGATGATGTCGAATTAACCCTATTAGTGGCAGGCTCCTGGCTACCCCTATTAGTGGCAGGGGGGGGGGGGGCTGTTTACGACCCCCCTTGATATCTCGAGATCTAACGGGCCGATTTTCAAAATTCAAACGGCATTCGATTTCGCTCAACGTGATCTACATTTCTAAAAAATAAAATTAAAAAATGTCAATAGTATATAGTAGAGGGGGGTAAAAACGGGCAAATTGCAGATACATTTTAGACTGTTTATCAATTATCACGGCCAGGTTTCTGAACCAATCTTAACGCAACTTTTGCCGATCGATAGAGAATGAACCAGGAATTCACATGGATCCTAAAAATATGCATTTTCAAAAATCATAGGCGGATACAGATCATTGAGATTGGGGGTACACAAAAAGTATAGTAAATAAGGTTTTTGTTGGTACTGTTTCTAAAAACGGTGGTAATGGTCTTGTTATGTTACAATTTTTTTATGAGAGAACGACTACAATTGTATTGGTCATGCATAGGCGGTGTCAGGGCACCTATGTTGGGAGGTAAAACATAACCCCCCTTTTTGGACGCCTGGGTCCGCCTATTATAGCAAAAACGTGTCAAAAGAGGATGCACAATAACTGTATATGTTATCACATGATAACTTTCATTCACTGTTCGTAAAACTGGTGCAGCATCGTGATCTTCGCCCAAATGACTCGCTTCACGAATAGGACCCCCCAATTCCCAGTGCTCTGGAGCCGCCCCTGGTAAAGTTATGAACTTGAAATTTTCAGGGAATGTGTCCAATTTAGTTTTAAGAAAAGTCAGACAATTTCAGCATCATAGCTTCAGCGGTTTCGGAGATATTCCCGAAAAACCTGAGGGGTGGATAAAAACAACCCCCCTGCCACTAATAGGGTTAAGCATATAACATTGAGAAGTAGTTTTGGTACCAATGCAACATGTTACGAAGCTGTCTGTGGTTGACACCTACTTTGACTAGCCGGAGGGACACGCACTTGTTGATCTCAGCTAACCTGATCCGACCTTCGCCAAATGCTAAAAATGGATTCAGATTCAGCGCAAAACTATGAGCCAGATACCATTAAAAAATTGAAGCTGGTCTTTCAAGTTTTTTTCTGTCTGGTGTGTCAATATGATGAAGGTACAATGACTACAATCTAATATTGGGTAATATTGCATGGGTCAGGTGGCCTACCATTTCTCTATTTTTTATTTATCTAGTTAAAAAATCATCGTATCAGGGCTATGACGAAAAACAAGTGGCCTAAATCCGATGAGAAAACTGGATTTGGGGGTACCCTAGGTTTAGAGGAGACACTAGGGCGATGGGCGAAGAGCAGACCGTCCCCCCCAACCAAAAGTCCGTGGCGGAGCCCTTGTGGGTAGCCCCATCCCTTCTACCCCGTAATTGACTACTTTTGATACAACTCAGTGACCGTCGTGGCACGTGCCACGTGAAAAAGTCAAGGGTGTTCAAGCTGTTTTGCAAAAGTAGTGACTTTGAGAGGCTCATATCTCAGCAGCCGCTTGGGCGATTGGCTTGCGGTAATTTTTTTTCAAAAATAGGATACTCTCGATGCATGTGGGTCACCCCCAGTGCACGTGCAAAATACAACAATAAGAGGTGTCAAATTTGTTCCCATTTTAACCCTATTCCTGGCGGGCTCCGCCGGGACAAGAAACTGGCGGGGGGGGCCGATTCGGCCCCCCCTGAGATCTCGAGAACGAAGCTAGATAGCGACAAACGGTAAACGGCATCGGATACGCACGGTCAAGATCTACAATTTATACTAAGGTCATTTTCAGGTCAGGTCAAAGATGACGTCACAGGGGTCGAAAAAGTCAAAATGGCGGCGCTAGATATGGAGAGTTTTTCTCGAATAACTTTCGAATTAGTCAAGATAGGAACAAACTAAGGGCATCATCGTGATCCTCTCGTCAATCCGCATCGAATGATATATATGTTGACCTCGCAAGGTCAAGGTCAAAGGTTGACCTCAGGTCACGTGACCTTGAGGTCATCATGTATATCATTCGATGCGTCTTGACGAGCTGAACACAATGAGACCATCCACGCGTCTGTATCTTGTTCCTGTACGGAGTTATTGGCCAAAAACCTTTGGTGATCTTTGATGACGTCACATGACCTCACAGCTGCCCAACAGCAAAACAGACCTCAAGGTAGTGAAGGTTGATCGTATATGAAGTCATGTATGGTATATGGGGCCATTCCGACCCGTTTTAGTGGTAAAAACAGGGAGTTGATTTTTCCCCCATTGACTTATAATGGGGAGGTCGCGAAACTGACCTGACCTTAGGTCACCGATATCAAAATTCCGAGATATACAAATTGCACATACTGGTACCCTAACTAAAGCCTGAAGAGAAGAAATTGATCGGTCAAAAACTCTAGCTCTGGCGTGATTGCAAACTTTTCTGAGGTAGGGTCACCAAACCGCCTCTGGTGACCTGACCTGAGGTCAGATCAACTCAAAATTTTCAGACATGTTGCGTAGCAGCCTTTTAGGAAAAGTCAGAAAATTTGAGCTTCCTAGCTCAACGCGTTTGGGAGAAATAACCAAAAAACCTCAGGGGGGGGCTCCTGAGGCCCCCCCCCCCCCGCCAGGAATAGGGTTAATAACTCGGTAATTACTGGGGCGCTTTCGCTGAAACTTGGCATACAGGTAGGCACCCACCAGGGAATGCATTCCCATGTGTTGCGGTTAACCCGCGCCCCACTGGGGTCTGCGTATAACACGCTCTACTGGGGGGGGGGGGGCTATTCATAGCCCCCGGCCCCTCCTAACTCCGAAACTACTGGGCTGATCGTCATAATTCAAACGGCGTCTGATAGCCCCGGAAAAACTGTCGAGCGAAACCTAATTTCATTGACCTCGAGGTCACCGATGACGTCACAGGTCAGGTCAAAGTAAAAATTATTAGCATTTTGGCTTGTTCACGTTTTGGGCTCTGGCCGCCGTCTTACAACTCAGATCAGGCTCATTTTTGCTTCACACACTCGTGAACAGATGCTCTAGATACCCTGAGGGTACTAAACTTGTATTTTGATTTTCAGGTCAAGGTCAGGTCATCACAGGTCACGAAAATATTATATCATGCGTCGGTCACGTGACACATGTTTTATGGTCCATTTCGGCCAAAGATTTCGAATTTGATGTCGTCTGTGTCATTCGAGGTCATTTTGAGTCGAATTTAGCTTAGGTCAGGTCACTTTCAGGTCAAAAAGGTCAAATTTTGAAGTTAGAATTTTTCAACAGAAAAGGTGTCTAATGGATGCAGTTTGAGCTCAGGAACACGATGGTGCTATCTATATTGGCGTACGATGTCTGAAAAATTGATTTGAAAAATTAATAATTGTGAATTTTTTTACAATAATGCGTAGGTATAACTTGGCCACTTTTGAAGATATTTAGCTAAAACTTGCTAGAGTTAGTCATAATAACGCTTTCTATCACATATTTTCCGGTTTTTTTCGAAAGGTCAAAAAGTTTTTGAAAAAAAATGTAAAAATGTAAATTTTGAATTTTATTATATAAAATTTTCGAAATTTTCAAAATTTCGAAAATCCGAGATAGCAATTTGATAGCGCAGTCTATTTTGAGTCCTCTCATGCAAAGAAATTGGATCTAGCTTAAAAATTGAGCCCTTGGGAGCGATTGCCGTGGTTCAATGTTTTGCGTCGAAATCGGCCGAACATGACGTCACTCTGACGTCATTTCCGGCCGACCTATGGTAGCTACGAAGTTCAAATTTTGACACAAGGTGTCAAATTAATGCGGCCGAAGGTACTGAAAGTTTGGCGTCGATACGTCAAGCGGTTTGGAAGTTATTGCAGAAAAACGGGAGGGGGGGCTAAACGGGAGGGGGGCTATACATCACGGACGGAGATATAAGCTTGCAATTCAAACCCTATGTAAACGTGTCTTATGTCTCTTTTTCACATATATAATGTCTCTTTTTTCACATATAGATGAAAGTTTCACGAACTTTCCCAAAAATCGGTATTTCGGTGGAAGTAAGGTTCACAATGGTTATTTTTCTTCCCACTTGACGTGGAATGCCCCCTGTACAAAAGTCAGCCAACACTATAGTTACAGAAACCGCCACCAGGTGACAGTAAACGTCGGTGTATCCACGGTGTATCATCGGTCATTGATGTTTACTGCCATCTGGTGGCAGGAAACTGGAAATATTGGTGGTGTTTCTCCCGTGGTGTTTCTGTAGGCCGTTGTAAACAGGGTATATTGAGTGAAGTTGTAAAAGCTTCTAAAATCGGCAAGGGCAATTTCATGAATGAGAATTTCATTTCATGAGTTCGGCCTCATCTTGAATACTGTGCACAAGCATGCCACTCGTCTCTAAAAAAGGATATAAAACTTTTGGAGCGTGTGCAGAGGAGGGCAACAAAGATGGTTCGTGGGCTGGGTGAAATGAGCTACAGAGAACGCCTGGCTTCCTTAAATATGTTTTCACTTCATTACCGCAGGATAAGAGGGGATTTGATTGGACTTTTTAAAATATACGAAGGGATTGATAAGTTAGATTTTGGGAAGATGTTTACATTCAATACAAATTCCACGAGAGGAAATGGGTGCAAACTAGTAAAGAAATTTTCCAGAACCAAGTTAAGACAGTCCTTTTTTACCAGTAGGGTCATAGAAGCTTGGAACGGTTTACCTCCTAGAGTTATCAATAGTTCCTCCTTAAGTAATTTTAAAAATGAGTTAGACTTGTATCATAAACAGCGTGGGCTAGTGTTCGATGAAATGGTGTAATTGTACCGTGTTTTACATACAGTGTCTGTTCATCTACCTGTAACCTCGTTGGGCCCCAGTGGCCTGCTGTTACATGGAATATATGTTATGTTATGTTATGTTATGAACTTGTAAAAAGGTCACAAAATTGTAGTATATGCAGCCTTGATTGTAGCCTGGTCAAGGTAAGCAAGGAGGCTGTCTGACATGACATAAACACGTCTCAGTCTGTTCTCATTCTGTCTGTTTTCATCATTTTGATATGGATTTTCATCTCACCAGATTTTTTGTGTCAATTTCAATTTGTCAAGCTTTTGATTCTTTTGTCAATTTTTAGCGTGACAGTGCAATCTCTGTTACCATTAATCTGGTGCTAACCATTGTACTTTTTTCATTATCATTCTTATGCATGCTGACCATCGTCCATTTTTTTTTGCAAACTATGCACTGGCTTTTGTTGGACGACGGTTAAAACAGGGCGCCTGGGGCGATTTGATCAAGGTTTGTGAAATTTACACGTGACGTTTAGGATGTAGATGGCCCACAAAGGGGGAGAAGCTCTAAATGTCACGTGACTAATATGCCCTCCGGCGCCCTGTTTTCACCGGCGTCCCTTTTGTTGTGCTTGTCATATGATAAATGATGATAACAGTCTAGTACCTATTTAGCATCTGGCATGGCATGTATCTAGCATCTGGCCAGACATTCCCAGAGTAGGTAACTCAATCTAGGAAGCCCAGAAGCATAACATCAATGCCTTGGGCTGTCTAAAATGCAAGATAAATCTAGCATGTGCTCATTGTGGAGTGCTGGAGACAAGCTCCTGTGGCCATCTCTTCTGAAGTGTTTGCAGTCCTGTAGAAGCATCCGCGACTATACTAGATGCCTGTATCCAGTATCCACCCATCCTGTACTGTACATACTCCAAATGACTTTTTTAATGACCTGAGGCCAGTTTTACTAACAGTAAAAAGACTGCTTCACATGCAGAGCAACGATAAAGCCCTATCACCTTATGTGCCCAGCTCGTTAACGCTCTGTATGTGAAGCGGTCACTAGACAAAAATCTGGCAGGTGGCTATTTTCCTGTTGGTAAAACTGGCCTCAGATTGGCTTCACTGTCAAATTTAATGGAAACTGACTTCAACACACCAAAATTTGACATACCTAACCTACCATACCCCAAAAACCCTCTGTGCTCAGTCTGCCCAGGGCACTGTTCAGTGTTGGTTACCATTTTATATGAGCTGGATGCCAGCTTGCTTTGTTTCTTCTTATTATTGGTCAAATTAACCCTCTAATGCCCACACATAGTTCCACGGTTCCTAAAATTAGCACCTTGTAACATATGATTCATTTTGGGTCCCTTGTTCGAAATCTGGAGTCAAATATTTTTTCGCAGTTCAAATTTCGGAAATAAATTTTGTATCAAATATGATACATTGGGCATTCCACTTGGTAATTTTTAGTGGTATCAGACCACACAGAAGGAAGTGAAGACATAGATGAGAAAATACAGGTATATCATTAAAAATTTCAGTGATAAAAGTGGCAGTTAAAATGTGTAAAATGGCAACAAGACATCCTTTACTATGCACTTTTTATCAGAACATTTTCTTAATATTTCATTGGCATCCTTCTTGTATCAAAATGTCCTTTCAGTCGGTGCTTAGGGAACAACGCTAATCATAGGCATCTATTTACGAGTGCCTTCTATTCCTTCAATTTCCACGATACAGCGCGTTGCACTTGTGCAATTTTTTCATAATTCAGACATGTGGGCCGTGCTTCTCAAACGTAGATGCGTTATGCATACTTGATATAGAAATGAAAACATTACAGTTGGCTCGCGGTAATTGGTTGAAGTGAAGCAGTTCTGATGCAAAATGCTGGACAGCCTGCCGACGGACCGGGATCAATGCCAAAGACGATGTTGGTTTATCTTCATGATAGCCGGACAATCTCGGGTGACTGAAACTCTCAGCCTGTGAATCGTCAGTTAGTACTTTGACTGGTCGTGCGGTCCTGATGTCATCGGCGTCAGTATAACAGCCGCGCACTGACCAGTGCAATAACCGTTGTACGTGTCAGACAACAAAGGTACAGGGAACTGTGCACCGATCGGCAGGAACTTGCACAATATTCATTGACCTCATATGGAGGTGAGCATCAGGCGCGGATACAAGGGGGGGGGGGCATGGGGGCCATGGCCCCCCCTTGGCCGATTTTTTTTTCAAAAATAAAATAAAAAGTTAAAAAGTTAAAAAGCTGAAAAGGGGGCCTCCTGAAAAAAAAGTGGCCGAAATCCGATGAGTTTTTTTTTAACCTACCCACTTAGTTATTTCTTAGAAGACTAGCTGAGAAGACTTCTTTGTTAGAAGATTGGTAAAGCTTTTCATAACTTGGAGGTCTCTTATACTCACAGAGATGACCACTTTTACAGGGCCTCCTAACCTGCACAGAGGGCCTCCAAGCCTGCACAGATGTTGAGATGTTGCCTGAACCTAGCTAGATAAGCTCAATAGACGCAGTTTTTTTTTTGGGGGGCCCAACAAGTGGGAAGATGGGGCCTCCAACAGGTGGGATTATGGGGGGGGGGGGCCTCCTGGTTTCTAATGGCCCCTCCCTTGGATATTTTCTGGATCCGCCCCTGGTGAGCATACGCATTACGCAATGCCGCAACCTTTATTCTTATGGTCAGTACAAAAGTAGTATCCATGTTAATTTAGTACCTATAAATCCTTTTTGTTCAGTGGCACTCAGCTACCACAGTTGGCGGTATATGTCAATATATGACAACAAATGACATACCTGGCAGTGAAAATGCTTGCCAGGTGTCAGGCACCTGCTGGAACTTGGCAGCAGTGCATGGTTGCCTACTTCTTAGATAGGAAATCAAAGGAACCACGCCCTTCGGTCCGGAGTCTGTCTTGTCATCGTCAAACAGTTGCAAAACCATATTCCTATGAGCGTCAGAAAAGTCGAGATGTATGAGGCATGTAAGGCCACTCATAGAAAGCTAGATGTTGGAAGATTGACAAGGATGAGAGGCGGCATAAGCGTACCAATATCGTTATGACATTTTAAGTCTGGAGCGAAATAGAGTTATCTGGCGCAAGAGGTGCGAACTTCACAAATTTATGCATCTTGTATCATCGTCGTTTGCAATGACGCACAGGCCATTGCAATGCTTATCACCTGAGAAAACTATGGTATTGGCACACCGTATGTTGCAGCGGCGAAAATTTCATAGAAAATATTGGAGTGCTATGCCCACTGTATCATATCTAGTATCCCCAAAAATAGGGGTCCATATCTTTGACCCTGAAAAAGTTGCGATGTTTTGCAACATACTATGATATATGTTGAACATTTGTCTCACAGTATGCCAAGTTTCTTTCCAAATAACTAATTTTTTGTTTTATAAATGCTTAAATTTACACTTGCATCTCAAATTGATTTTCGGCAAAGGACAAACTGACCCTCTTCAAAATCACCTGGTGGGAAACTGAGAAATCATTACTTAAAAATTTTGCCACCAGGTGGTTGCCAAGACGTACCACTTCTGATACAGCAGGGTTTTCAACAATTTTCACCTCTATGATTAGCAGGCGAATTTTCTGCAAATTGACTTACAGATATGATACCGGGGGCACTAGAGGGTTAATGTGGTGTGGCTTAGCAATGGCAGCCCAAGAAACTTAAGCAACAAATTAGCTTGTAGACATGGGAAACCAGCTCAGTATGCTGATGAAAAACTGACGGTGAACAGTGCCCTGCATTGGCTTACAGGCAGGGCCTCGGCTAACATGTTAACTGGTGGGCCAAATGGCCCACCAGTGACCCGAAATGGCCCACCAGCCTCAAAGATTTGGCCCACCAGTAATTTTCCGAAAAATCTAAGTTTTCACATTTTTCACATTTCAAATTGAATTAGCAGATCTTATCGTACATTTTCAGGCTGTAAAGTACCCATCGGTGAAACATATTCTTGTGAAAAAAAAACTTCAACCTATTGTTTGCAATATCCTCTTGGGGTAAAAAGTGAACTATAGTGGACTAAGTGGACTAAGCCGGATTGGACCAATGGACGAGAAACGGACGGCGTCCGGTGATGTCCGGGGGATGTCCGTTCGTTTCCGTTGGACGTCCGTTTCTCATCCGTTCATATCCGTTCCATGTCCGGTGGTGTCCGGTGTGCTCAGCCGGACACCACCGGACATGGAACGGATATTAACGGATGACAAACGGACGTCCAACGGAAACAAACGGACATCATCGGACGCTGACAGTTCTCGTCCGTTTCTCGTCCGTTGGTCCAATCCGGTGAAGTGTGGTCGAGGCTTTAAATTTTATGCAATAATCGTGAAAGACGTCTGCCTCTGTCAATTACAGATAGTGTCGGCGGCTTCCAGCCGATCGAGGTCTGCGAGAGTTCTTGCAAGCTTTCCGATCGATCGAGTGGTTGCAGTCACATAAGCATCTGCCGCAGATCAGTCGGTTACAAGAATAACTACGAATAAAGAACAGACCAGTTCAGACGGTCGGGGATAAGCCTGCGAGCGATCTCAGACGGCTCGCCGATAGACACGATATAAGCCAGAGTCAAACTAGAGGTAGTGTCGGCGACTTCCAGCCGATTGAAGTCTGCAAGCGATATTATGCGTCTTCACGACCGGTATGATTTTTGCAGTCACACATCTGACCAGTTGGACGAATTTCGAATCGTTCACAGTCAGCGTTCCAAAAATTTCTCATTTGGGCTGAAGATGACACTCAAGAATAGGAATGGATAATTTTCCACTCTCACATTTTGGGTGGCTCGAATTTTCCACTCAGACACCCAAGAAAAATCTGAAGTTTGGGACACTGTTCACCAGAAGTGAACGTGTAGGTACATAACTTAGTTTTTTTTTTAAGGAAATTTTAGGGTTGCGCAGTGCGCTTGGGCTTTTGAGTCAATTATTTTCCATGCGACACCAATAGGCTTAATGATCATTTTCAGAGATGTTGGGGTTGCTGCTACAACCCCCTTTTGGGGTTCCTGCTACAACCCACTTTACGAGGGGGTATCGAAAAGTTCTGATCATCACATAGAAGATATAGACCGATTTTGATGATTTTTGGTAGGCATTATATTTGGTTCTCAAGAACAATGTTCCCGCAAAGAAAATCCTGAGAAGTGGTTTTATCTTATGTAGGAGAGACTTAGAAGTAAAAAAGATGAGCATTGGGCCCACTGAGGACCGAACCGTCATCCAACTAATGCATTTGAAACGGTATCACACTGATAAAATACATCAAGAACGTGAACTTAGTTTATGGCGAAGCAAGCCCATCTCATGCACTTACCGAAAATGAAGAAATAATTTTCAACTTGGTTGCATGGCCTTTGCAAGGGAGTCAAGAAGTGAGTGACTACCAGTGATTGACAAGGTGGTGACTGTGAAGGAAGTGGAGGACCTCATCCTTACAGATCGTCGTGTGGCCTTTCAGATGATTGTGCAACAGAAAGGTCTCAATGCTGGCAGTATCTGAAAATATTATCAGCGAAGAACTACAGACGATAAAGGAGTCAGCCCGCTTAGAAGTTCGTGTGTCTACTTTGTTCCAGAGAAAAATTCGTCTTGGCCTTTCGAAACGAAAACTAGGCCTTTTTTAGGAAATTGAAGAAATCTTTGATCATTTGATGACTTGTGACGAATGCTGGGTCTATGTGTATGATTCAGAGACAAAACGATGATCTAGAAGTTTAAGCACGGCACATCTGCCCTTTTTAAAAGGCGAAGATGCAGAAGCCGATATGGAAAGTCAATGCTCTCAGTGTTCTGGATCTGGCGTAGGATAGTCATTACCGACTGTCTTGATGATGGTCGGATAATGATAAGCATGCGCTACTGCACACTTTTGAAGAAATTGCGAGATGGCCTCAAGCAGAATCGCCGCAAAAAAGCCCAAGAAAGATGTTTTATCCTCACGGACAGTGCCCCCACCCATTCGTCCTGAGCTGCGACTGAAGAAACAACATGATGTGGACATTAAATCCTACCGTATCTAACAAATTCACCTGACCGGGTATTAACTGACTCTTGATTGTTACGGGAGATGAAAAATCCACAGTATGGCCGGTGATTGAAGGACAGAAATGACGTCATTGATGAGGTGAAGCACTGATTTACGGGACAGTGCGAAGGTTCTACAATGACCGCCTGAGGCAGTTCAAGAAACGATGCAATAAGTTTGCGGTCGTGTATGGTGACTTGTGAAGAAGTAATGAACATCATGTAAAAAAATCAAATTTCTATCACATCTAATTCATGGTGATGATCAGAACTTTTCGATACCCCCTCGTATATATAAAGTTGCACTCGTGCTGTTCACAATTCCTCCCGATCCACCCAACAACGCCCGATCCCGTCCGACCGCTTCCGAATTTCCGACTAGTCGGCGAGCGATCCCGGCCGTAAGTTATCGTCCAAAGTTTTATAATCTGCGTCAATATTGTGTGCAAGCTTGTGACACGGAATATATAGTCTACGACATGTCGATATGTCGATATGTACTACGATATGTCGTAGACTATATATTCCGTGCTTGTGCGATTTTATGTGCACCGCGGGAGTATCACCACTGAGAGGGTTGCCCTACTCTCTCCTCTCTCTCTGAAGAGTCGGGGGGGGGGGGGGGTCGAGCCCCGTTTTTTTTTTTACATTTTTTGAATGCCATCCTGACGTTTTTTGCAGAATAAAGTGACCGAAATCTGGAGAGAAATCGAAAATTGGGGGGGGGCTATGGCTACGAAGGTCAGTCCATGTCGCTGCCCAAGTGGCCCACCAGTCAAAATTCCTTAGCCGAGGCCCTGCTTACAGGAGCTCTACCAAACATTTCAGACTCTGCCCCACCCCACACTGACCTCACCCCATCCCTCCCCACACTGACCTCACCCCACCCCTCCCCACACTGACCTCACCCCGCCCCTCCCCACACTGACCTCACCCCGCCTCTCCCCACACTGACCTCACCCCGCCCCTCCCCACACTGACCTCACCCCGCCCCTCCCCACACTGACCTCACCCCGCCCCTCCCCACCCTGACCTCACCCCACCCTGACCTCACCCCGCCGCTCCGCCAGAGGTGGGGAGGGGACGCCATGTCTCTCTCGCCGGCCGCAGACCGGGTGCCGTTCGGCGACTTTTGCACCCTCTGCGAGCGGCTGGCCGGCGCGCCCTCCAAGCCGCGCCGTCTGGAGGTGTGGCGCCGTTTTTTGGCGCGCTACCGGCCGCAGGTGCTGCCGTCTGGCGGCGACTCGGCCTTCACGCTGCTGCGGCTGCTGCTGCCGGACCGGGACCGGGAGCGCGGCCCGTACGGCGCCAAACACCACCGGCTGACCGAGCTGTACACGGCAGCGCTGGGCCTGCCGCGCGCCAGCGCCGCCGGACAGCAGCTGCTGCGCTACCGCGCCGACGGCGGCCACCAGCACGGCGCCGGCGACTTTGGCGAGACGCTGCAGCACGTGCTGCTGCACCGCTGCCCGCAGCAGGACAGCGGATGGAGCATGCAGGTACCCGGACGGGGGGGGGGGGGGGAGCGGACATGTCTGTTGACGTGCCCGCAGCAGGGTAGTCAGGAATATGGGGATGTTTGGAAACAGTGAAGTGAGAAAATATTTCACCCCCTCCCGCCCCCTCAGCGGATTGACGACACGCTAAGCCACCTGGCGGAGATGAATCAAGCCAACGACCGGGCGGGCATGCAGGAGACCATGCAGCAGCTGGTGCGAACGCTCTCCGCCCGCGAGCACAAGTGGCTGGCGCGCATCATACTGAAGGAGGTCAGAGCAGAGGCGGCGGAGACTCAGTGGGACCCCTCTGGTCACCTGGGTGGGGGAGGCTCGGAGGGACCCCTCTGGTCACCTGGGTGAGGGAGGCTCGGAGAGACCCCTCTGGTCACCTGGGTGGGGGAGGCTCGGAGAGACCCCTCTGGTCACCTGGGTGGGGGAGGCTCGGAGAGACCCCTCTGGTCACCTGGGTGGGGGAGGCTCGGAGGGACCCCTCTGGTCACCTGGGTGGGGAGGTGGGCTCGGAGGGACCCCTCTGGTCACCTGGGTGGGGGCTCGGAGGGACCCCTCTGGTCACCTGGGTGGGGGAGACTCGGAGGGACCCCTCTGGTCACCTGGGTGGGGGAGGCTCAGAGGGGCCCCTCTGGTCACCTGGGTGGGGGAGGCTCGGAGGGACCCCTCTGGTCACCTGGGTGGGGGAGGCTCGGAGGGACCCCTCTGGTCACCTGGGTGGGGGAGGCTAGGAGGGACCCCTCTGGTCACCTGGGTGGGGGAGGCTCGGAGGGACCCCTCTGGGTCACCTGGGTGGGGGGGGTCGGAGGGACCCCTCTGGTCACCTGGGTGGGGGAGGCTCGGAGGGACCCCTCTGGTCACCTGGGTGCCGGAGACTCGGAGGGACCCCTCTGGTCACCTGGGTGGGTGGGGGGGGGGTCGGAGGGACCCCTCTGGTCACCTGGGTGGGGTGGGCTCGGAGGGACCCCTCTGGTCACCTGGGTGGGGTGGGCTCGGAGGGACCCCTCTGGTCACCTGGGTGGGGGCTCGGAGGGACCTCTCTGGTCACCTGGGTGGGGGAGACTCGGAGGGACCCCTCTGGTCACCTGGGTGGGTGGGGGGGGGGGGGGGTCGGAGGGACCCCTCTGGTCACCTGGGTGGGGGAAGGCTCGGAGGGACCCCTCTGGTCACCTGGGTGGGGGAGGCTCGGAGGGACCCCTCTGGTCACCTGGGTGGGGGAGGCTAGGAGGGACCCCTCTGGTCACCTGGGTGGGGGAAGGCTCGGAGGGACCCCTCTGGTCACCTGGGTGGGGGAGGCTCGGAGGGACCCCTCTGGTCACCTGGGTGCCGGAGACTCGGAGGGACCCCTCTGGTCACCTGGGTGGGGGAGGCTAGGAGGGACCCCTCTGGTCACCTGGGTGGGGGAGACTCGGAGGGACCCCTCTGGTCACCTGGGTGGGGGAGACTCGGAGGGACCCCTCTGGTCACCTGGGTGGGGGAGGCTAGGAGGGACCCCTCTGGTCACCTGGGTGGGGGGTCGGAGGGACCCCTCTGGTCACCTGGGTGGGGGAGGCTCGGAGGGACCCCTCTGGTCACCTAAGCGGGGGTCACTGGAAGCCCACAGGGCGTGGGGATGGGAGGGGTAGGGATTGCTGTAACGTTGACCAGAGAGCGGATGGCCGCGCGTAGAATGGAGGGGATCGATTCCCTCCGACGTCTGGCGATGTACGGTGAGGTGTGATGATCGGGTCTCCGGTCACGGAGGGGGCGGTCCGCCGTGTGGGGCTGCTGACGACAGAGTCGGGCGGTGGCCGGGGTAACTGCCACTGGGGCCACCCGGGTCACTGGGGTACGGTTAGTGGGCGTCACAGATGGATGGGTCAATACGGGGGCTGCATGTGCTAGCGAGGTGCGCCCCATAGGCGGCGGAACGGGGAGGGCGCCGTGCCCCCCTTTGATTTGGGCATTTTAACATTAGCCCTATGGGCGTTGAATGGAAAGAATGGGACCAAAAGTCGGCAGTGCCCCCCCCCCCCTTAATTGATGGTGTTCCGCCGCTACCGTGCGCCCCTAAGATATTGCGCGCATTACGAATGAATTAGACACATGCATTAGACACAATAACGGGACTCTCTCGTGTCCCGTTATTGTGTAACGGCCGGCCACCTGACGACGCCTGTCCTTGAGTTCGTGCTGAATCAACTCGCTCCGCCCGGCCAGATGCACCTGGGGCTGGACGCTAACTCGCTGCTGAGGGAGTTCCATCCGGACGCGCTGGATCACTGGGCGGTGGCCAGCTGTCTGCGCCGGCTGGCGGCCGAGCTGAGGGACCCGCAGCAGCGGCTGGACCGCGCCCAGATCAGCCTCTTCAACGCCTTCAGGTCAGCTGCCTGTGTGGTACCCGGTGTCGACAGCTGCTCGTGCGGCGGGCCGTGGTGACCGCGATGGCCCCGTCCCCTCCCGCAGAGGCAGCCCGACTCCTGGGACCCCTGATACATATAACAAACACCTGAACCCGGCTGTGCCTCCGGAGCCCCGTGTGACTGGACGTGTGGCGCCCGGCAGGCCGATGCTGTCGGAACGCTCCGGTCTGGAGCGGATTGACCGGCAGATGAAAAACAAACCGTTTTTCGTGGAGCCGAAACACGACGGCGAGCGGGTGCAGCTGCACAAGGACGGCGACAGGTGAGGCGGGGGGGGGGGGGGCGAGCGGGTGCAGCTGCACAAGGACGGAGACAGGTCAGACTGGGGGCGAGCGGCTCAGGTCAGGGGGGGGGGGGGCAGGACAGAGGCGGCCGAGCGGGCGTGGCTGCGGTCAAGGGGCGGCATGGCTCAGTAATTGTTTTAACGAGCTCGGGGGGGAGGAAGACAATGGGCAATCAAATGTATTTTTACTGCCAAATATTCACACTGCCAATTGATCCATCTCAAATGAGCTGTAAACGAGTAGAAATATGGGATTAGACATGCGGTAACGATCTCTCGTTTCAAACATTATGTTTTGGCAAGCTGTCGCATAAGATTGATGCGTTCCTATGTAACAAGCTACCAATAGATGAGCAAATGTGTGAAAAGTGCCATCATTACCCTTTTCCTCTCCCCTCGGCAGGTACATGTTCTTCTCTCGCGGCGGGTTCGACTTCACGGCCTCGTACGGCGACTCGCCGTCGGCGGGCTCCCTGGTGCCGCACATCCACCGCCAGTTCCCGGACACGGTCCGCTCCTGCATCCTCGACGGAGAGATGCTCGTCTGGAACGACCGGGAGCGCGCCGTCATCGTCAAGGCCGAGGCGCCCGACGTCAAGAAACTGAAGCCCGGCGGCCGCGTGTGGCCCATGTTTGTGCCGTTCGATCTGGTGTATTTGAACGGCGAGGTGCTCACCGAGCGGCCGCTCAGCGAGCGACTCGAGAAGCTCAAGTGCGTGTTCCGGCCGCTAGATGGCAGGCTCGACGTGACTACGAGGCTCGAGGTGTCCACCACTGAAGAGGTGATATATTAACTCTTTTTTTTTTTTTGCTGCGGTAGATATAATGGACATTTTCCCTACAGCTCTAATTTGTACGCCACATTTTCGGCTGTTTTCGTATACCCCTCTCACGTAATGCCCTCAGGGTCCCATTAACCCTCGCCCTGGCAGGGCATTTTTCATAACACGGCCTGGCATGGGGGAGGGGTTGATGCGACCCCCCCCCCCTCGCGATTGGCTCCTATGGCACCTAGAAACACCAAATTTGTTAGGTAGGTGGGCCCCCTGGAGCTCTCGCCCCTGTGCAAATTTGGTTGCTCTAGGTCAGTATTTAGGGGGGTTTTGGGGGGTGTAAATGTAAAAATTTCGCTAAAAGCAGGTCAAACGTTTTTCGCTCATAACTTTTGATCTAATTAAGATAGAGATGAAAGAAAAGCACCAGTGAACTCAGCACGTCAAGGCGCGTCGAAAGATATGCTTTTTTGCTTGCTTAAGTGTACTTAAAGTTTTCTTAATTTTTAAGTATACCTTAATTAATTGATTAAGTTCAAGTTAACTAAATTGCATCATATCGCATATCATTCGATTTGGCTAATCACCAGAAACACGACGATACCATTTTTTAACCCTCGTACGACCAGGCCATTTCTCATAACACGAACGACCAGGGGGGGGGGTTGGTACGACCCCCCCCCCTGGCGTTTCGAAACGGAAGGTCGTAGAGCTTAGCGGAAAAAACCAACGGAGCAGCTCTCAACGAGATCTCGCGATTGGTGGTATATTTTTCGGTCCTAGGTCAACATTTGACCTACTTATGACCGGTCAAAGGTCTAATTTTCCGAAAAAATCAAACTTTTTCAACTTTCCGCGGCGATTGCGGCAAAACGGTGGGAGATATCGACTTGAAACCTTCACTATCGTGTTCCTTGATCAATTCTCTATCGTTTGGTATGTATTTCGTTTCCCTAGCTCTAAACATGGCGCGTTGGGAGCGCCGGAAGTCGGCAAGGTCACAGTCGGCGGCAGAAATTCGAAAAATCAAAATTTAAATTTTTGAAATCTGATTGTATTTTTGGATTTGGGAGGTCCATTTGCTCCCTATAGAAGCTAATATTGCTGCATATTCCCATTGAGGTGACAAGAATTAGCAAAATAGTGGTTCGGGCGCTTTTCAAAAATAGTACCGGACGCTGTTCCTCTTGTGACGTCATAGCTCCGTGACCTGACCTGACCCGGTCAATTTTCTTGCACCACACGATAGCCAATGCTTGCCCCAACATGCATGGGAAGTTTCATCATGATCCATCAAACAATGTGGGTATCACCGGCAGAAAACCTAGGGATTCGGCGCACACGTTTGGTAACTATCGGCCGGAGGCTGTACCTCTTATGACGTCATAACTCCGTGACCTGACATGACCCGATCAATTTTTTTTCGGCAAAAGATGCGCAAAGGTTGCCCCAGAGGGTATTGAAAATTTCAGCCCGCTACGACAAGCCGTTTAGCGTGCACTTCGAAAAAAACCTCAGGGGGGGTTGATACAACCCCCCCCCCCCTAGGCGTTCTAGGGTTAAGCTCTAGCCTCATTATGTGCCAAGTTATTGGCAACCTCAGTTGACCTCATTTGACATGGATAAGTACACCAGATAACGAAGCACCAAGCGACCTGCTGTTAAGTTCTGTGGTTTCAAAGCACAAAAGTGATAGAACGAAGCGGATATCTCCAGTATTTTCCGAATTTAGTATTTTCCCATAGGCTTAACATTACGACCTAATGACCTTTAACTGACCTCAGGTCAGTGACATAAAAACCCCGAACTATATGTTATACAACTCGGTGAACTTAGCACATCCTGAGAGTTTGAAGGAAATCAGTCAAAAACTGTGAGTTGGACAGGTGCAAAAAGAAAATTGAAATTTGACCATGACCTTGTACCGGTTTTTCTGACCTGGTGACCTGACCCAAGGTCACTGGGACCTGAAATTTTCAGGTAATATGTAAAAAGGTTGCCCCATAGGCTGTGCCAAATTTGGCGGCGCTGCGCGCCGCCGTTTTTACGCTATCTTCGAAAAACCTTAGGGAGGGGGTGCATCAACTGCCAGGGCGAGGGATAAGACAATACCAACTCAGATGATTCTTCCGGAATACCTCCCGCCCATGTTCACACCCCCCCCCCCCCTGTACAGGTGGTGGAGGCCCTGAACGCCGCCATAGACCGGCAGGAGGAGGGTCTGGTACTGAAGGACCCCCAGTCGCTGTACCGACCCAACGCCCGCCGCGCCGGCTGGGTCAAGGTCAAACCGGACTATGTCGACTCGCTGGTGGACGACCTCGACCTGCTTATTATCGGAGGGTGAGCCGGAGGGTGATTATTATCGGAGGGTGATTAAGGAGTGGCCATCTGTCCCACCGTGGAGACAAGTCCCGCCAAAGGTGGACCTTTCCCTCACCGATGTGAGAAAAGGCGACATCCCTCCAGCTGTTTTAAAGGCTCGTGCGCTGGAACATATTTCAAGGTACTCTGACTACATAGCCTGTTATACTGACGGCTCAAAGACTGATGACGGTGCCGGGTGTGCTTTCGTCTGCGGCGACGCTGTGCGGTGTTTTACCTTACCTAAACATGCATCCGTTTTTTCCTGCGAATTGGTCGCTATCCTCAAACTCCTGTGTTTTATCGAGATTAATCCCGCTCGGTCATATGTTATTCTTTCTGACTCATTGAGTGGTCTCCAGTCCTTGTCACAATTCTACCCTTCTGACCCCCTCGCACAGGAGATTCTTCTTCGTGTGACAGCCCTCGACCGAGAGGGTACGTCGGTGTCTTTTTGCTGGATCCCTAGCCACGTCGGTATTCACGGCAACGAACGGGCGGACCGAGCTGCGAACCATGCTGCGCAGTATCTGTGCTCCCACCGATTCCCTCTACCCGCCAGGGACTTTGTACCGGCGGTGGGCTCTTTCCTCCTCGGAAAGTGGCAGGAGGCCTGGAGCCAATCCCACGGTAACAAACTTTTACGTATCAAGCCAGGTTTAGCTACCTGGTTGTCGGCCTCACGCAGATCGCGACGCGAGGAGGTGGTCCTCTGCCGGCTTCGTACCGGGCACACTTATGGCACCCATGGGTTCCTTATCGGCGTTGGCTCCAGGCCTATTTGTACCAGATGTGGTGACCGACTTTCGGTCCGACACGTCTTGGTCGAGTGCCCGAGACTGGACGCTGAGCGATTGCGGTTTTTTGGATTGCGTGGCCCCCAGCTCTCTTTGAGAACACTTCTCCGCGACGACTCCCCTTTTCTCGATTCCGTTCGCCTCTTTTCGTTCATCACGGCCTCCGGGCTTCAGGTGATTTTTAACCCCCGACTTTGAGGAAGATTGGTTAGATATGGGCGCCATATAGCCTCGTTGCTGGTGCGCCCTAAAACACCAAATCATCATCATCATCGGCGCCCGGGCCGGTATGGCCGCTACCTACTGCACTATCCGTGCACAGTGACGCTGTATAGGGGTCCTTCACTGGACACCTCTTAAACCAGGCATCCGCGCCTTAGTAGCAGCATCCGTTGGGTTTCGTTTGTTTTATATCTTATTAGATCTACACCAATTATATCTGTTTTCATCGGTTGCGAAGTTATCAGCTCCGATAGTGTGTTGGTCAATGGTCACGTCTGCCCGTGTCCGGTGGCAGGTATTACGGCGGCGGCGCCCGCCGCGGCACCGTGTGCCAGTTCCTGCTGGGAGCCGCCGAGCCGGCGGAGCGGGACGGCGAGCAGCCGCAGCTCTTCCTCTCGGCCGGCACCGTCAGCTCCGGTAACACGACAGGACGCGAGGCGAGGGGAGGGGAGGGGCTAACGGAGGGCGGGGTGGCACCCACCACTCGACGCGCAGCTCCGCTAGTAGTCTCAACCGGGGAATTAGTAGCCCGGAGAGCCATTCTACCTTTTTGTTCTCTCCGTCCTCCACCGAGGCTGCTTTCGGACGGGTGGCGCTGTCGATACTTCCTAGAGGGGAGGCCTGTGGTGTGGTGAGGGCGCCCGCGCTCACCGATTGCCGTCCCCGCGGCGCGCCGGCCAGGTCTGACGAGTCAGCAGCTGCTGCAGCTGCAGCGGCAGCTGATGCCACACTTCCGACGGACGAGCCGCAGCGGCCAGCCGCCGCCGGGCCTGCGCTGGGCCACCGAGAAGCCCGACCTCTGGATCGAGCCCTGCCACAGCCAGATTCTGCAGGTACGCCAGATACTGCTGGTATGCGAGACTAGGGAAGTAGACGGTCACATTTACAGCTGAGATCCTGTAGGTATGCGAGGATGCTTGGCCTGAGGTCGATATAACTGGGTAAAAGGGTTCTTGTCCTTTCATCTTTATTCGGTCAGTTATCTGGTTTACTCCCTTCCCCTCCCCATCAGGCTAAGTCCCCCTCCCCATCAGGTGAAGGTCACTGACTCCCCCTCCCCCTCCCCATCAGGTGAAGGCCACCGAGATAGTCGAGTCGTCGCGCCATGCGGCCGGTCTGGTGCCGCGATTCGCGCGCGTGGTGGCCGTGCGCGCCGACAAGCCGTGGCACCAGTGTGTGACCACGGCCGAGCTGCGCCAACTGAGACAGCGCGCCGGCGGGAAACTGGCCACCGGCCACCTGCAGGCGAGACTGGAGGACGGGGAGGAAACGGGCGGGGAGACTCGTATCGTGGAGCTTAAAGTGGCTAACAAGTTTACCTTTTATTTGCTGCTTTATTGAATATTTAGCCTGTTATGGTTACTGTCGTTGGCGGATCCTTTCCTTCTCGTTCATAGTCCCCTCCTTCCTTTCGTCTGGTGCCTTTGGCCCTGAATTCCCAGGCCAGAGGACCAGCTGACGTCAGCTCAGCCTCCACATTGTCGCCGGCCGTTCTATAGCTGACCGCTGACCGGCTCTCTCGCGGCTCTGCTCAGGGTGTGCCGCGGCGGGCGCCGGCGGCGGGCCGGGCCGGCGCGCGGCCGCCGGCGGTGGCTGCCCACCTCCGTCCGACGGACCTGAGCGGGCTGCCGGCCGAGTCGGCGCTGCTCCGAGACAAACAGATCTGCGTGATGACCTGCGACAGGCTGAGGTGCGGAGGGAGAGGGGGTGGGAGGAGGTCGGGGAGAGGGGAGGAGAGGAAGATCAGGTCAGTAGCTCAACAGCGAGACAGAGAGCCGCGGCTCCGGTGTGACTCACGCCGCGCCCCGGTGTGCCTCGCTGTGTGTCTCGCTGTTCTGTGTTTCTCACTGTGTGCCTCACTGGTCTCTGTGTGTCTCGCTGTGTGTCTCACGGGTCTCTGTGTGTCTCGCTGTGTGTCTCACGGGTCTCTGTGTGTCTCACTGTGTGCCTCACTGGTCTCTGTGTGTCTCACTGTGTGCCTCACTGGTCTCTGTGTGTCTCGCTGTGTGCCTCACGGGTCTAGTCTATCGATGTCTCTGTCTCACGCGGCGTTTGTGCGTCCCCGCCAGTGATAAGGCCGAACTGGAGCGGCTGGTTCACCAGTGCGGCGGCTCGCTCACCCAGAACCCCACCGAGCGCACCTGGTGCGTCATCGCCGACCAGGTCACCGTCAAGGTCAGACACGAGGTCACAGCGGGGTCAGAGGTCACAGCGGGGTCAGACACGGGTCAGAGCGGGGTCAGACACTGGTCAGAGGTCACAGCGTCAGACACGGGTCACAGCGGGGTCAGACACGGGTCAGAGCGGGGTCAGACACTGGTCAGAGGTCACAGCGGGGTCAGACACGGGTCAGAGCGGGGTCAGACACTGGTCAGAGGTCACAGCGGGGTCAGAGCGGGGTCAGACACGGGTCAGAGGTCACAGCGGGGTCAGACACGAGTCAGGGGAGTCCGATCAGGGCTGACAGTCCACGGGGTCAGAATAGAGGCTAGATGTCAGCGCGGGTCATGCCAGGTCATATCAGTATGTTTTCTATGAACAGGTACCCCCCCCCCCCCGCCCTCAGGAGCGCAGTGTGGTACGCAGCGGCCGCTATGACGTGGTCCGCTCGCGGTGGCTGCGCCGACTGGCGGCCGCCGGCCGGATGGTCCCGTTCGCGCCCTCCGAGCTGCTGCACGCCACGGCGGCCACCCGGCGCGACACGGCGCTCCACTTCGACCCCTTCGGCGACAGCTACAGCGAGGACGTGACGGAGCCGCAGCTGAAGGAACTGCTGGACGGTGAGCGGACGGGGGGGGGGGCTGGGTATCCTGGGCTGGGTCCTTTGGACGGACGGCAGGGGGGGGGGGCTGAACCTGGGTGGGGCGGCTACATTGTGTGTACAAGTATCTATCGCAGATGTTTTCTGTGCTGTCCCGCTTTGAAGACGTGTAGTGTAGTGATGTTTGGCCCCAACGCATGGCTGGACAGATTTGTAGCGCTTCAATTCAGTGATATGGGGTAATTCTGGCTGCCTTCAGTAGCTCGTCGTTCAGTGCCGTCAGCTGCAGAAAGCGTGTCTCCGCTGGTTGACCCCCCCCCCCCCCCTCCCCCCCTCCCAGCGATGCGGTCGGAGCCGGCGCCGGCGGAGCCGCCGTCCGAGCTGCTCCACAGGCTGGCGGCCGGCGGCGCGCCGCCGCCCTTCTGGACGCTGGCCGGCTGCCGCTGCTTCCTGGCGCCGCCGCTGCACGGCGCCACCGTCGCCGGGCTGACGGTCCGCCTGCACGGCGGTCGGCTCAGTGGCGCCCTGGACGGCCGGGTGACGCACGTGGTGGTGCCCGCCGCCGCCGCCCCTTCGGACCCGGACACCGACCGGGAGGCGCGGCTGGGCGCCCTCAGAGAGCAGAACCGGCAGCGCGCGCGCAAATTCCACCTGGTCTCGGAGCGCTGGGTAGAGGAGTGCGCGCGGCGCGGGCAGAGAGCGGAGGAGCGCGCCTTCCCGCCCTGACCTGACCTCGGACGGGCCACCGGTCACTGACTGGCCTCAGCCTGGGGTCGGTAGTCCAGCTCGGCCTTAATTTCGGGTGTGCTTTATGTCCACATAATGTGTTTGCGTTTCCTTGACGTTAGATATCACGGGTGATACTGTTTTTGTACTTCTGATCTCGTACAATCAGCTGGTATTGATTGTAATTTAGCAGAGTGCCTTGTTATTGTTTTGTAGATGAGCGTTAATTAGTTAGCTGCCTGCTTCTCTGTGATACATTGTATTCAAGCTGAACTGGCTGCTGAATGGCAAACGGTAACAATGCGACTCACGTCTTTGGCCTGGTCATGATTGTTGTGCGTTGTTGCTTGCTTCACGCCGTGTTCAATAAACTAGTCGTGAACACCAGGGTGTGTCAATGGAAAATCTTTTCAAGTGAAGAGTGATTTTCTAAGGGATTAGCGATTAGCATCGGCGATCTATGAGGACAATGGGGGGGGGAGGGGGATGAGGACAAAGGTGGCGGTGTGGTAATGGGTGCAAAATTACATCACGACTTCCTGATTTTGCAATTTGTATGATAGACACACCCCAGCAACTATACAAGCTACTGTGTTCTGATTCGTCACACCTGTGCTCCAAATCACCGTTATAGATTCCCTCCTCGTCACTACCCGCGTCCCTGCGGCGTATTATGACCATTTTTCTCTGTACCGGTCTGCCTTATTGACTCCAGACATGTCACATACAGTAGGCCCCGCTCGTCGCTGATCGCCCCCTGCCTCTGCGTGACGCCCCCAGAGCGGCAGCTGCGTGCCGACGTGTCTGCTCTGGAAAAGAACGACTACCACCTGAAATCGCTGGAGGCGGACGCCGACACGGAGCTGCAGCTGCGACAGAAAATGGCCGAGAGGGCCGAGGCAGAGAGTCTCAACTGGAGCAGGGCAGGATCAACAGAGACAGGTATGGAAGGGGAGGGAGAGAGATGGAGAGAGAGAGAGAGAGAGAGAGAGAGAGAGAGAGAGAGAGAGAGAGAGAGAGAGAGAGAAAGAAAGAGAGAGAGAGAGAGAGAGAAAGGGAGGGAGGGGAGAGGGTGATAATTACTAATTAGTATATCTCGAGAAAGTGACCCATGCCAATATATTACAACGCAGTTTCAGTGCTACTCTTCTATGCAATATTGCAGTCACTTTACACCAAGTCGCGCTGGTACTTTTCTATGCGTGAATGAACTCTCGGCGTGCTAGCCTTTTATGTGCGGATCCCGGCACGCGGCTCGAAGTCTCCGACCCCTTGTTCTGTGCTAGCTTCCGATGACAATATTTGACTGTATTGTAGCGACAGCCTGTCCGAAGACTGGACAGAGGTGCAATGTGCGCTACTGCATGAAAATATGAAGCATAAAATCAAGAGCTTTGTCAATCGACACATTGCATTACTTCTTAGAAGTGCACGTTTTTATCCGAGGCGTCATGGTCTGACTGCATTTTTTCTTAAAACGAAATGTTAACAATGAAATGAAATATTTTAGTAGCGTACACGGTTGAAATAATAGCATAGCGCTTTGTGACATTTGCATTCGAATATGAATCGCAACTGCACCAAACATCCTGAGCAGAATGGACAAGTACCAAGAAAGCGGAGGGTAATAAAGCGAACACTTTGAAAGCCTCGTGATTTGAAAGCCTCGTGATAATGGACCTAAAGTGAATGTGATTTAAGTTTCCGTCTCTCTCCAGTGTAATGCTTTCAGCTAATCCTTCTATGGCAGAGCTATGAATGCCTCTCCCTATTATTATGAGGACGGCCCGGCGGCTGCTGGGAGGGTGGCGTATGCGGCGCACCTGTGGCTGGACAGCGCCGGCAAACGGCTGCCGATCCGCTACACACACGACAGCTACTACGAGCACCAGTACCGGGTGCAGGACGTGTTCAAGTTCTGGGCCGAGAACACGTGTCTGACCTTCCAAATGCAGTCGACGGTGGACTGCGCCGCCGAGCGGGAGCCGGTCATGGCGCTGCGCGACGCCGACCCCACCGAGCGGTACGGCGTCGACCTCGGCAAGCCGTGCATGGTGACCTCGCTGGGCCGGGGGGACTTGGACGACGCGCACCACGAGCTGCTCGGCGTGCTGGGCGTGCTGCCCTACACGCTGCGCAAGGACGCCGACCGGTACGTCAGCACTAACGAGGAGAACCTCAAGTCGTACATACGCACCCGCGACCCGCTGCTGCGCGCCGACCTGCGCTCCCTGCACCGGTGTCGCGGCCAGACGGCCATGCTGCCGACGCCGTTCGACCTGCTCTCGCGGGCCATGATCTCGCCGCGGGCGCTGCTCGACCGGCTGGAGACGCGGCCCGTGTTCGTTACCGTGGAGCGGCGGCACCAGTACCTGCTGCAGCTGGGCGCCGCCGCCGGCCGCGGGCCCACCTTCTACGACGTGATGGCCGTCAACCTGCTGTACAAGTGTCCGGCCGCGTGGGCGGCCGGCTGCGCCGCCGGCGCGCCGCGCTGCCAGAACCACGGCTACCTGCTGAAGTCGTGCAAGTGCCGGTGCGCGCCCGGGTTCGCCGGCGACCGGTGTCAGACCCGGACGGGGCCGCTGTTCCCGCTGCAGCCCGGGTCCTTCGAGCTCAACGTGACCGCGGCGCGCTCCTACGACCTCGCCACCCTCAACCTCCGGGGCGCCGAGCTGCCCGGCGGCTCCAGCTCCTTCAAGTATTACGTGTTCGTCATCGTCAACGTCCTGCCGAAGGATCCGGAGCAGCTGGCGAGCGTGTCTCTGGTGCTGCCGTTCGACAAGGTGGGCGGCCCGCTGGGCCGTCTGAGCGAGAAGCTGCTGAAGTACCTGAGCACCACCGACTGCCTGGACGGGCTGCGGCTGCTGTGGGGCTCCGGGCGCCGCCTCCGCTGCGAGTGCCTCTCCTCTCTGGTCAACAACGAGCCGGCGGCCACTGCGCGCGTGCTGCGCGCCCGCCGACCGCGCGTGGGCCTGACGCTCATCAACTGCCTGGGGCGCACGTTCCCGGCGGAGCCGCGCCTCTCGGGGCTGACCTCCGAGTTCCGGCTGCTGGTCCAGTTCCGGGCGCCCGGCGCGCTCTCCGTGGCCGACAGGCCCGGCGCCCGGCCGCTGCCCGTCGGCGGCGACGGCGGCGCCGCTGACAACGACACGGGGATCGTCGGCGGCGGCGGCACCGGAACGGCGGCCATGAGGGGGCCGCTGGCCGGCGCCGGTCTGGGCGTGGCGGCCGTGACGGGCCCGCTGGGCGTGCTGCTGCTGCTCGCCTGCCTGCTACTGCTGCTCAGCCGGCGCAGCAGGCGGCGGCGCGGCAGACAATCGCCGGCAGACGAGCAGAGCGACACCGACTCCGGCGACGAGAGCGACGCCGACGGCGACTCGGCGTCCAGTGACGTCACCGATGACGTCACCGGCGACCCTGGCCGGGAGTGACGTCAAACAGAGTGCATGGTATGCGCATGTTTCGGTGTTGATGGGCACTCAGCGGCGATACGTTCCACCGGCCACCTGCAGGCGCTTGTTGAAACTCTGAATTAAATACTGATAAGTGACAGACTAGTCTAAGGACTAGCGCTAGACCGCTCGTTTGTCAATGAATGTGACATTGTGTACCATCATCATTAATCGGTCTAAAAGCTGCCCTGACGGCGCGCGATGGACGACCATTTTTTGTAACCAATCTAATTGCAATGCTACCTAATCACTGTCAAATCGGTTTGCTTACCTTATAAAGCGATGGGCGGGGGAGCAGCCACCACACCGGGAGCAGCCTGCTGCCCAGAACCCCGCCAGTTGCGTCTTGGTCCATTGATGTCAGGTTCCAGTCACCAGTCAGGCTCGAGTATTGGCGTCGGTTCTTCTGGTCCGTGTTGGGAGGCGCTGGCTAAAGGTACAATGTTAGTTACAGCCGGGTAATGTATCTTACAGAAACGTGGGACTGGCCCGGTTTATTTCCTTATCGTCGTATTACACTGAATAGGGATTCGGAGATGGAAGCCATGAAAGCAGGATGACCAACCGAATCATACACTGGCGAAGTGTTGCGCCTTCACAATTACAGGGTGAGCCATAAAGATTTACCCATCGAAAATTTAACTTTGTTTCAAGGCGCGCTGGCACAGCTATGTCATCTTTACGTCATCTCCTAACTAATAAATGTAGTCTGTTTTCTGTATGCTTGCATTTTTCTTATGTTACGCGCCCGAGACGCGAGAGTAATATGACACGCGGCCGCCGCACCGTCTTTTCACTTATTTTCCTCGATCACCCATGCTATAACAATGCTGCGCCGTATGTCATTTGCGGTGTTTCAGGGACTCGGTAGAGTCGGGTTTTCAGGATATTTCAGTTTGCGAAGCCCGTGGGGCTGAAGTCGGGGATAAATTGTGCCCAGCATTCTTTAAACCAAGGAGTGTTCAGCAGCCAACACCCAGTGGTGATTCCTGAATTTCAGGAGCGGCGGATGTGCGTTAAGACGATCTCGCATTTCAGGAGCGTAGCAGAGACAGTGGACGAGCATATACAAAATGAGCTACACTGTCAGGATTGGAGACAAATTTGCGACATATAGGTATGCAAAAGATGGCATACCTACGCCAACCCGTTTGGAAATAAAGTGAATTTATCGGTGGGTAAATCTTTATGGCTCACCCTGTAATTGCTTTTTCATGTTTTGTGCAATGCTTTAATGCCATCCGTAATTTATTCGTTTCAAACAATTTCAGACAATCGGAATTGCTGTCGGTTGCGACAACGCTAAACGTCGAACCAATTTCAAATCGCAGGGCATCACCATACGCTAGCAAAATAAAATTTCCCACATGTCGCCATTTCAGCTTTCACCATTCAAACACAACAGTTGGCATTGAATCAAATCTATTTATCTCGTTCTCTCTCGTCAGCAGACCCCGCGGCCCGTCCCGCCGTGGTTCGGCGTTCCACGGACCCGGGACCCGGCCGGGGGGTGTTTCCCGGTCGGGTCCGCCCGGCCGCTGATATGTGGTCACACCCACTGACCGGTCGGGTCGGGTTGGGACCGGTCCCCCGTCTGCCCCGGTCAAAGCCGTCAGAGTAACAGCTGCTGTGACAGACCCCCAACCGGTCCTACTCAGACTACGGACTCCAAATCACAGGCAGAATATCAGAGCTCCACAGACATAAAAACACCAGCCGAATTCGCCGCGAATGGCGTCACACCCGAACAACAACTAAACTCTGAGAATAATCAAACAAAATATACAGATATGTGGAATACACATGTAGGATCACATTCGAAACGCTGGCGGCTGTATGCCAGACCAATATATACAAGTACACACTTGCAATTAGCATTGGTCACCAATCACAGTCTCTCGCAATCGACACAATATTACAATTTAATTGCACGGGAATGCTGCTATGCGGTACGTTGCGACTAAGGCCGTAACTGACAGCCGCTGCTCTTCACACATATGGAGTAAAAACAAGCTCTATCGCCTCGTACCCCTTCCTGGCCCGGTGAAACCGTGAGCGGCCCATCCCAGCCGCTGTTCTCAACACTGGTGATGTAAACACTCGCTACCACACAGAGAGCTACTCGTCGCACAGCTCCACTTTGGCGGATAACTGAGCACTTGAGTTCTCGCCGGCCGCCTCCCATCGTTATTCAGTCCCCACATAGTCACCGCGTAGTCACTGTGTAGTCATACTCTTCTCTAGTCATCCTCTGCTATTGCTACCGCACCGAGCCCCTCCCAGCCCCCCCCCCCCCCCCAGCCCTGACCGCCAACAGACCCCCAGGTGTGACGTCACACACAGAGAAGGGAGGGGCAACAATCGCCGAGGTCACAGCCAGACTAAGCCCGGTCCCGGGTCGGGGAAGGGGTGGGGGTAGGGGCCCCGGTCCGTCAGGGCCCGCCGCGGCCGCAGGGAAGCGCGGCTGCAATCGGAACCCCTCAAACACAGCGTGTGTGACCAGTGTGACCCACAGCGTCCCGTCCCGGACACGGTGTGACCTGTGTGAGCCCCTGTGACCGGCACAACCGCCAGAATATAACAGCCCGGCGGTAAACCAAACGGCCACACGATACCACAAACTAGTCACTGGAATAGGCCATCACCAGCACTGCATGACATCACGACCAGCCCTCAGTGCAGCTTCAGAGCACTTGGTCCAACGAACCTATCACCGAAACCGACCCTGCCGCTGTCCTCGAGAGTCACGAATCACCATGGTAACCGGAGCAACAACGTCCACTTCATTCCGTCCATCACGGTGCTGCCATTGAGCAATTAACGCCAGCCGTTTGTCCACCACTAAATCCGGCGTGGGCACGACTGGTACTTGTCCAGCACTATTTAACTATAGCGGCCGGTACTGGTCCATCCCTATCGCCGTGTTGGAGCCGTCGACTGTGGCCCCAAATATCCACTCGGCTCGCTGCAGTCACCGTTCACATTTCCACCGCGGCGGAAGAGCTCCCGCTGAATCCCCGCCTCCCTTCTGACTCCTTTCCTCTCTGCAGCTGCCGCCAGTTCTCCGCCCCTCTCTCCAAAGCTGCCGACCGCACCTCCTCTCCCTGTGATCTGTTCATCCGTCCACTGGTGGCTGTAGGTGCCGAGGAGTGCAGCGCGACTGCCAGTCGGTGGCGGACTCCTGACCTTCCCTCCGAGTGCTGGGGACCGTTCTCAGGGCAGCCGGGGGCAGAGGACGCGTCCCAGTCCCCTGCGCACCTCGGCCTGCACGGGTCCGTACTGGACCACCTCGCCGTCCAGCTGGAGGGGAGCGGGTACCGCCGGGTCAGCGCCCACAGGGCGAGCAGGGGGCGGCCGAACGGCAGCACCGTCCACCGAGCCGAGAGGGAGGGACGACACGCCTACTCCACAGACCGCAGGTCAGTCTGCATGGTTAGTCTGCAGTGGTAGTCTAAATGAAGCAGAGAGACAGAAGTCTAAGTAAATTAATTCTAAATTAATTAATAAAATTAAAATAAATTAATTAATAAATTAATTAATAAAATTAATAAAAAATACCATAAATTAATAATAATAATAAAAATAAAATTCGGTTTATAAAGGCCGAACGATTACGTCGGGTCACGAAATAAATATATTATGATTTCTTTAAGCATCATAGATTAGAAAGGACTGGGGCATTCCACGATAGATCGACCAAAGCCGTACACCCTCATATTTTATTTTTTGCTTAAAATTGGTCTAATGGGTTGTTATGGGCGGGGAAGCCAGCTGTGCCAAGGATTTTTTCTTCGAACAACTGTTTCCGAGATATAGCCTCAGGCAATTCCTGGAGGTCACGCTGCAACCCTATGTTTGGTGGCTTATAACTCGGAAACTATTGGTTTTCTATGTTAAAAACTTTATATGGTTCAACTCGCAATCAACCAGCAAACGTTTTGGCTATCTCGGATTTTCGATTTTTGAAAATTTTGATCACGTGACATCTTGATCTTTTTTTCGAAGAGTGACCATGATATTTTCCCAACTGAAAGTCGCAATTTTGTCTGATGACGATTAAAGCCTTATCAATTGTCATTCATATGCGACAATAAAAAAGTGGCTTTCGGCCTGCATTGACCTGAGATCAGGTCATTTTTTGACCTGTCCTTTTATAAGTCAATGGCAGAAATATCGGCTACTGCACCGAAACGCATCTGACCGGTTCAAATACTTTTGAATCATGTTGAGTTAGGCTATTATTGATGGCACTGGTGCAGCTTTGTATCAGTGACCCGCTGAAAGGTCATCCAAGGTCACGCGTTGAACACACAATAATTTTCCGTTTTTGGCTGTACCTTTTGATCTAATAAAGAAAGAGACGTAGAATAGGCACCAATCCGTTTGCTTTCGCCTAGCGCCAGCTCATTTTGAATTTCGATACCGATGACCTGAGGTCAGGTTAATTTCTTGACCACCCCATTATAAGTCAATTGGGGAAAAATCAGCTCACTTATTTTTACACTAAAACGCGTCGGAATTGCCTAATATACCATGAGTGACTCCATATGCGACAAACTTTGACTACCTTGAGACCTTTTTTGCTCTTGGTCAACTGTGACGTTGCTCTTGGGTCATGTGACGTCATTAAAGGTCACCAAATGTTTTTTGCTAGTAACTCCTTACAGGTTTGAGATACAGCCGCGCGGATAGGCTCATTGTGTTCAGCTCGTCAAGGCCCATCGAATGATATGTATGATGACCTTACGGTCACGTGACCTAAGGTCAACTTTTGACCTTGACCTTTCGAGGTCAACATACACATGTTTCGATGCGGATCGACGAGAGGATCACGATGGTGCTATTAGTTTGTTCCTAGCTGAGATACTTTGAAAGTTATTCGAGAAAAACTTCATATATATATAGTGCCGCCATTTAGACTTTCTTTTACCCCTGTGACGTCATCTTTGACCTGAACTGAAATTGACCTGGGTAAAAATGGTAGACCTTATCCATGTGTACCCTGTGCCGTTTACCGCTTGTCGCTATCTTGCTTTGTTCTCGAGATCTCGCTGTCGCTCCCGCTCGTAATAATGGGAAGGTCATAAAAATGACCTGACCTGAGGTCAACGCAGGCCGAAAGCCACTTTTTTATTATCGCATATGAATGACAATTGATAAGGCTTTAGTTGTCATCAGACAAAATTGCGACTTTCAGTTGAGAAAATATCAAGGTCACTCTTCGAAAAAAGGTCAAGATGTCACGTGATCAAAATATTCAAAAATCGAAAATCCGAGATAGCCAAAACGTTTGTTGCTTGATTGCGAGTTGAACCATATCAAGTTTTTACCATAGAAAACCAATAGTTTCTGAGTTATAAGCCGCCAAACATAGGGTTGCAGCGTGACCTCCAGGAACTGCCCGAGGCTATATCTCGGAAACCGTTGTTCGAAGAAAAAAATCCTTGCCACAGCTGGGTTCCCCGCCCTTCACAACCCACTAGACCAATTTTGAGCAAAAAATAAAATATGCGGGTGTAAATTTTAAGTTTTTTTGGTCGATCTATCGTGGAATGCCCCGACTACGAGAGTTCTGCGATGAATCAAATCAATACAGGAAATGACGCACGTCGCAGTTTTCTTGCCGTCTGCAATAAACCAAAACTACGCTAGACGACACTACTTTACACCGCCACGGAACATTAAACTGCCGTGCAAAGGCCGACCTTGGGCCAGCAGCCAGTCTAACGTAATCGGTTGTGCCTTTGTACGGCAGTAAAGCGCAACGTATAAACGTTAGCTCTGTGTACTATTGTCCGTGCTTTTAGGTATTGTAGGCAGTAGGTCGATCAGTGACGCTGAATGCCGTGAGATTGCCGTCTACTCACGGTGATGTAGCCGCCGGCGGTCTCCGGCACCAGTCGTACCGCGCGCACCGCTATCCGCTCCACGAACGGCAGCTCCGTGTGCTGCCCGTCCGCCAGGCCCAGCAGGTACTGAAACGGACCGACGGCGAGACCGTCACATAGGGGGCAGCACCGTACCGACCCGGCAGTACGAAACTCGGGAGGCTCTGACCACGGGGCGGTAGGTGGCAGCACCATATGGGCTCTGCAGTATGAAACTATGCAGGTTCCAGGGGGCGTCGAAGTCTAGTTCCTACCAACCTGGCACTCCCATGCCTACGTCACCACGAGGACGCCCGAGGGCATTTACATGTTGAAGATAGGGAAATTGCCATAGTTTAGAGCCGCCTGAAGGGCAACCTTGAGATAGATGGTAATGTAAATGTGTGCTAATATGATCATCAACATGTTATTTAACCAAATCCAGGGCCAATTAATCGATAACCTGTCACGTTTTCCAGTGGTGATGCGCTAACGTTCGTGGTTCTTGCAGCCAATAAGGGTGTTTCATAGTGCGATTCAGCCGCAGTATCGACTTTAATGCCATAAACCGCCACGGAACATACGATTTGCAGCTCCCTGGCGTGATAGCTGCCAGTAGGGCTCCGGAGTCGGAGTCATGAAGTCGGTCGGAGTTGACAGTTCTGACCTGAGTCGTCGAGTCGGAGTCAGAGTAGATTTTAAAAGCCTGGAGTCTGAGTCAGTCACCGAAATTCGATCCCCTCCGCAGACCTTTCAGGGTTCCGTAGTCGGAATTGTAGTCGGTCGGAGTCGACAGTTCTGACCAGAGTCAGTGTCAGAGTCGATTTTGAAAGCCAGAGTCGGAGTCGGAGTCACCAAAAAACCATTGCCTCCGCAGACCTGCTAGGGCTGTGGAGTCGGAGTCAGTCAGAGCCGACATTTGAAATCAAAGTCAGAGTTGATTTTTGAAAGTCTGAGTCAGAGTCGGAGTCATCAAGAACCCATCGACGATCCGCAGTACCATGCAGCAAGGGCGCTGCCGATCGATGCCCCTGAATTGCCTATGAATTGAATGAATAGATGACAATTAATTAGGTAGGTACCTTCTATCATTCATCCCCTGCCACTTGGAGGACTTACTTTAAGTAGAAAAAGACGCACTATTTTGTTTGTTTATTTATTGACAAATATTTTTTGAGCAGTTAGGTAGGGATACAGACACAAAACACAATGATAGCACCTCGCTGGTGCAAATAATTGCTAGATAGATGTTGAGATGTGTTGCCATTGAAGGATCTACTGATTTTCCTGGCGGCTCTCGTTTTCAAGTAACTACTGGTCTTGTAAGATCTCTTGATTGCTCACCGTCTGGCGTCTTCCAAGGTTTTCTGAAACCTAATCAAACGTTACCATGACTGCTTTTTGATTGCATGGCGCTTGCTGGTTCTGCTTAATTGGTGGTTCTTGCGTCTGATCCTGTTGCTTCATGTTCCATCACATCACATTAAATTTATAATGGAACAGACACTTCTACCTTTTATTCCACTATCAGTCGACTTGCTTTTACCCCTGTGGCCTGCTCGCCTTTTTTTCCACGCTGGAATCTATCAATTATTGAAAAAGCCCGGATAAAAAAGCAAGAAAAGTATGTCAAGTCAAATAGTTGAGACAGTCCTAGAAAACCAGAAAAAAAATCAAAAAGCCTGTCCATCTCACTTCCCTCACTTCATAACAAAAACCAGGCAGCAAAACATGCGAAAGAGTCCTTAGCAACGCCCTAGCAACGCATTTGTCTGAAGTGCGCAATATGTGTCACATCTGGAAAATTTAGTAGCTACCTGATTATTCAACTAGAGTTGGACTATATCAGCTAGGCTTTTATATAAAAATAAGTGTTTGCTTATCGAATTTATAGCAACTGGTTGCTTAACTTCGAAATAATGATTTATTACAGAAAAAGCTTGTTTGCGACATATTTGTAGAGAAACAACGGAAATAGCTTTGACTCGTGCGCTATTCTAGTACATTTTTGGTAGAAAACTTCGTCCAACCTTATGTTTTAGGGCCTTGGCAGGTTCTGACAAACCGGGCGGTAGGTGGCAGCACCGTACAAACTCGGCAGAATGAAACTCGGGAGGTTCTGATGACGCGGCGATAGGTGGCAGCACCGTACATACTCGGCAGTGAAACATCGCAACTCCCACAACACGATCCATTCCGACACCGCTCATCAAATGTAACAGTCATTCCCACAATTCCACATTTTTTAAATGTGGGCTGAAATAGCAATTGTGAACCGGAACAAATTCATGACAGACTAAATTACGAGCAAACAACCGCGCCGCCAGTAAAACCGCCAGCGCCCTCTACTTCCATTCCCCGGTCTGGCGTTTCCCGTGTCTGTCTCTGCCTCGTCCCCGGGCCCCCGCCGCCCGCGTCTCCCCGTGCCCCGGGGCTAAATGACTCACCCGGAGCACCTGCGAGCGGGTGACGCCGGCGCGGATGATGTGCAGGTGCAGCAGGCCGTCGCTGAGCTCGGCGCCCGGGTTCAGGTGCATGTCGCCGCTGATGTGAGACGGCAACGAGCCGTACACGAGCACAAACTCGCCTGCAGCGGACCAATCACCGGGTTACACACCTGACAACCGACCTGGGGTGAATGAACCGACGAATGACGAGCGAGCGCAGCTAATAGGACGGGAGACATACAGAAATGTACCATAAAACCAGGCGCTAGTGTCGAGACTAGCTCAAGGCAAGAGTTCATAATCTGTTCTAATTTGATTGAGTAGGGCGCCCGGATTTCAAGGGATATTGGCGCAAACAGTCGGCTACAATCAGCATAGGTCAACAGCTACCGATAATGTGCGTACCCTGTATGCAGGCCCAGTCGTCGGGCGGCGGCTGGTCCAGCGGCGGGAACTGGTGGCGCGCCACTGCCGGCTCCGCGTCTGCAGAGCTCAGCCGGCGCCGGCCGGGGTCCGACTCGGCCGGGGGCGGCACCTGCCAGACGGGGGGGGGGTTCAGGCAGGGGGCAAAACACTGCACAACAGTCCGGGCGGAGAGGTACCGCAGTCACCATCGGCTATGTCAGCCTACCACGTCCATCAGCACAGGCTTTCTGGACATTCAGAGGCCGCTACCGGTATAGAGGCAGTCTACAGAGGCAGAAGCAGTCCAGGGAGCCGCCGCGAGCACGTCTGTAGCGCGTGTCTGCACCCACCCGGGGGCCGGGGGGCGACCGGTCCCTCACCTGGTCCAGCATCAGCTCGGTGAAGACGTCCCGCTCAGAGGCGGGCGTGGTGGGCGCGCCCTCGGAGACGGGCCGCCGCCGGCCGCCGGCGGACGACGAGCCGCTCTCTGCCGAACGGAGCGACGGGAGGTCACACGCCGTAATATCCTCCGAGGTCACACACTGTAAAACCCTCTGAGGTCACACACTGTAACGCCGTCTGAGGTCACACACTGTAACACCCTCTGAAGTAGCACACTGGGGCAGATTAAGGGGGACGGCCGGTACGGTCCAGTGTTGTTCTGCTGTCCTCCCTCCCTCTCCCTTACCGATGGTGATGGCTCTCTCCAGTCGGGGCCGCTCTATCCTCCGCTCCTCTGTCCGCGCTCCAGTCCTCTCTCCGGGCAGGTAGAACACCTTGCCGCGGTAGGTTTTCAGCGTGAGCAGCCGGGCGGCGGCCCAGACGGTGAAGCGCGCGCCGCCCAACACGCGCAGCCGCTCACTCTCAATGTCAATGTCGGCCAGAAGACCCCAGCCCAGAGAGAGAAACCCCACCAACTCCTGGGGAGAGAGAGAGAGAGAGAGAGAGAGAGAGAGAGAGGGAGAGAGAGAGAGAGAGAGAGAGAGGAGTGGCTGTCAGAGAGAGGGAGGCTCGTGGGGAGAGGGGCACGATTTGGGACGAGCCATTCTGAGTTAGGTGCCCGACGAAGAATGGGTAGGGGTCACTAGGGCGTGTTACACCGACTCAATTCGACATGTTAAAAAAGACTCCTTTATTTTGGCACGACTAAAGACAATAAAGTAAGACGGCATGTCCAAAGAACTATCGAAGGCTGTCAGTAGCACCTGTGTAAACAAAACTGGGCGCAACCTCCGAGCGGAATGGCGAATAACTGAATCCTTAATGCTGAATCGCTACATCTCTTCAGTGATCAAAGTTCAAAAATACCGAAACATGATGTTATCATGATCCGTATATACACACCAGAGTCCCAGCGGATCCCGGGTTCGTCCGTGGATCCCCGGGTCCGTCCGGATCCCAGGACCGTCCGTGGATCCCTGGGTCCGTCCGGACCCCGTGTCCGTACCTCTGTCTGTGTCCGCACCATCATCAGGTCGACCTGCAGCTGGAGCCGCTTGGCCAGCGCCAGCGAGGCCGTCAGCACGGGGTTCTGCATGAAGGCCGGCCTGGCGACACGGGACGGGGCGGCGCGGCGCGGGTCAGACGGCTGCACGGGTCAGACGACTGCACGGGCCAGACGGCTGCACGGGCCAGACGGCTGCACGGGTCAGACGGCTGCACGGGTCAGACGACTGCACGGGTCAGACGGCTGCACGGGTCAGACGGCTGCACGGGTCAGGGCAGCCCCGGCGGCGTGCCGCGCCCACGGGACAGCCCGAGCCGGACCGTGTCTCCTCGCAGCTGGCCGAGAGGCGTGAGATGAGTAGCTCTACTGTAATAGCGAGCTTAAAAAGGGTGGTATAGCTCGACTCGACGTTTTGGGGTCCGTGAGATGTATGCTGGAGCTTGGCATGTCCCCTCCCCTCCCCAGCATGAAACTCACAGTAGGTTGCTGGCGTGCGCCACTGAGGCGGCCATGCCGTTTCCGGATCCGGCCGGCACCAGGGCCACGGGGAAGTCAACCCATCGGTGCCAGTCGGCGCGGCTGAGGATGCCGTTATACACCTGGACAGACAAAGGGGGTGAACTGGTCAGCGGCCCGGGTATACACCCGGGTACAGAGGCACAGTTCGACACAGGTCACACTGAACAGAGTCTGACTGATACAGTTCAACTGCCTGCTGGCTGCTAAAGGGATTGCTAAATGGTCTTTGGATATCGTTAGGCACTGGTTATAGCCAAGGATGGCCTTGTCTTAGAACGTTGTAAAGCAAACATTTCACTCCCAAAATGACGTTAAGCCCTCTGAAGCATGACATCACAGTCGCCCCTCTAATGACGTCATGCTCCATGTGTCGGATGACGTCACTGACCTCGTAGAGCAGGCCGTCGCCGGAGACAATGACGACTGCCGACCATTGGCTGAGGTCGGCCTCTGCCGCCAGCTGGCGGGCCTCGCCGGCGCGTGACGTCACCACCACCTCGTGCGGCGCGTCCGACTCCGAGAGGATGGGCAGCACGCGCTGACCAAACACCTGTCACACAGGGGGAGGGGACGTCATATGGACAGCTGACCGAACACCGGTCACAGTGGGAGGGGACGTCATATGGACAGCTGACCAAACACCTGTCACAGGGGGCATTGTCACATGTAGCAAATCACGAAACCTTTTCTTTTGCGCGCACAATCGTCTCAATTTAGAACACATCTCTGCTAGAATTCGGTAGAGTTCTGCTAAAGTTGCTAAAAGAATACAGTCCTCAGCCGTGTCACGTACCGCCCCCTTCCCGGTCGAACCGTCAACTCCCTGATGTTCTCAGTGCTCAGGCGCCCCAGCCACCAGCCCCCCCCCCCCCCCCGACGGCCCGCCTGGAGCCGCCTCTGTCGCCGCCCGCAGCGGTCAGTGCCGGCTCCCACGACGTTCTATATACCGCGGCTCCCGCAGCCCTCCGTCAGCTGGGGCGGAGACAATCGGCGCCGGGCCGCTGCCGAGTTGACGCCACCGTCCATCACATGGGACGGAGAGCGGCCGACCCACCGACCGGCCGCGGTGACGTCACCACTGATGACGTCATTGTAACTACTACACAGACAATATAAGGGACCCTCAATGGTCCCGTCCTACCACGGAGGCAGGTGGGTCAGAGCTGTATTTGGAGGCAAGAAATACATCTAATTCACTAATACAGCGAGGCATTGTAAAGAAGTGTTATTTGTCCCACACATGTAATACAATGTTTCCAAATCTTTCCAAACGTCTAGAACAGGTCGGCTTAGCTCCATTATGTCCCTGTAACTATATAGGGCTCAACATATCGCTCTTGAATCTCCCTAGATCCATCACAGGTATTTTTCCTGGGCTCTGATTAGCTCCTCGAGACTCCCCAGCCATCCCCAGCTCTCCCGGTCTCTGCCCAGCTCTCCGTGGCTCCCCGTGGCTCACGCTGGCTCCTCACAGCTCATAGTGTGGCCGTGGACGGCTCCGTGCGATATTGCCGCTGATAGGCCGTCCGTGGCTGCGCTAACGCACCACAAGGTCGGCGGCGCGGTCTCTGGGCGGGGCGCAGGATGGCACGGAGACGGGCCCGGCACAACCCGGGTCTCGTCTCGGGACCGCGGGGATCTCAGCTCGCACCGGCTGGTCCGTGCCGTTACGGCCTGTAAATTCTGTTCAGCACGTCACCCTGAGCCTGTCATACATCCAGTTGTACGGACTGAAATCATAAAACGGTGTGGTTCAGTGGACTCAGGACCGGGTCAGATAAGAGCACCACTGCCTCTACCTCTTAGCCAAGAAAGTCTCTCCCCCTCCCCCTCCAAACGAGCCGAATGCCCTCCTCTTGCGACGGCCCGCCCGAGGCACCGGGGAGGCATCACGCAGCCCTCCCCGGCCGGGGAGAAAACCCTCAGCTCTCCCCGGGGCCGGGGCGGTAGTGTAGCGGGTGCACCGCCCGACCTGCCCGGGCGGGCCTGGCGGCGAATAGGAAATATGCTGTTTTTTTCTTTTATTTGTATGTTTGTCATAACTTTGAATCATTTAGAGAGTGCCTGTGTGTTCGTGTGATCATTAGTGTGTATAATAAACGTTATAAAAAATAAATAAAAAAAAGAGCCGAATGCCCCCCCCCCCCCCCAGCTGTGGCAGCCCTGCTGCCTGGCGCTGTGCCAGATAGGACCCACACGTGACCGCGCCCCGTAGTGACCTAACTCAGAGGGGGAGGGGGGCTGATAACGACCACACGTGCCGAGCCGCACACAGCTGTCGGTGGCTGCGGGGCCACCACAGCGATACAGCACACATTAGGAAGAGGGGGAGGGCGGGCCGGGGAGGGGTCATAGCCCGGGCTATAATATATCGGTACATTTCAATACACCAATGAAGTGGAGAGCATAAATTGGGCTGTTAGATAGTGTTGACAAAACTTGCTTGGCAGTTGGCACACAAGAATGCCACACGTCAGTAACTGACAATCACAGCGGCCGAGCTGATGTCACGGAGATTGCGGCTGATATGACGGAAATATATCGTACACTGAGCTCGTGTGGTAGGTACGACGGCCTTGAACTACTCGGCTGTTGGCGCTGGTGGTCCCACATAACACGGCCAGTGTAGGTGTGAGCGATGGATCACCCCCGACCGAGGCAGTACAGCTGGAAGGTGACGTACTGACACACCTAATGGTCAGCGGGGCTCACCGCAGTGGTACGGCCACCATACGGGGACAGACCCAGTCACCAAGGCACCGCCTGGGAACGGTAACATGGCTAGAGGATATAACGGACAATGTCCAGCGGGCTATCATACGCGGCTCCACATTGTGCGACACTCTGAGCCAGGTCCGGTCTGGACCAGCGAGCGGGGGCTCCGAGACGCGGTCCCCCGAGCCCCTAAACAGCACACAGCACCCCGTGTTCCCTCACCATGTGCGACAGCGCAATGTTGCACACCGCGCAGCTGGCATTGTGCTTTATTAATCACAATGTTATCAAGGAATGCGAGGTAATTAACATTAGCCAGTGGACAATAATGTCGAGAAGGGGCTGCAGAGTTTAAATAAGAAATGGTTCGTGTCGCATTGTATGTGACTTAGACCTAGCGACACACTGCCTTTAAATCAACTGGCCACTTGGCGACGCGAGGAGAATCTACTCGACAAACGAATTATAATCCTTGCAGTGGTCAAAATGACAAACATACCAGCGAGTGGTAATCTGGTGCGGTACTCGTCACTCAGTGAGTGCTGGGTTCGCAGTGTCGGTCTGTATCGGTACCTATCTCGGAACCCGCCCCTGTCCACTGACGTACCGAGTTCTCACATCGGACCACCCCGCCTGACCGGGGCCAAAGGGCGCCGCAAAAACGGATCCCACAGTCATACACAGTCGGAAAAGTGCTAACCTATCGGTATCGAGTGGGTTTTAGGTCAGTTCAACAAATCATTTACGCAAAGCGTAGTCATGGAATAAGAACGTTGCTGCGCAACTATTAAATTTGCCCCACATTGTCACAGAATGCTATGGAAGATTTAAAGCGATTTAGTGAATCACGTGTCACCATTCGCTTGGCTTTCTGACCTTATATCTGCTGATAAACCACGTCTATCCTATCAAAAGCTGTCACCGCAGGCAATCAGTACTATTTAACAAGTACCTCACACTGTATATCCTCGAGAGCTAAATGTAGCAAAACACCGCCGTTGAAGGCTTTTCCCAAAACTCGTGCTCGAACGTTCAAACACCCTCGAAGTAGCTCATTCATCATATTCCGACACAGGCCGAGCTGTGCACTTTCTGCTGGAGGTCACCGTTCACAGAGCCCGCCCGTCTACCAACGCGATCCCGCATCGTACTCGCGTGGTCCGGTGCCTGAATAAGCCACAAATAACCAGACCAAGATGGACAGCGCCGATAGAGCATTACAGGTGATTTACAACCATTGCCCTGGTGAGATATTTCCGTTGAATGGAGCATCTTGTTAGCAGATTAGCTAAGCCCGCGTTCCCAGCTCCCGGTATCGGGTGCTACCCGTCCGTTTCCAGATTCCACGTTTGCTTAGTACCAATTATACCGTCATCGGATAGGTGGGACGAGTCGCAGCCCCTGCAGCAAATGGCGGGTACCCGCGTGCAGTCACCGGCAGGCTGAGTATCATACACGTCAGTCCGAGGACCGCCGAAATCAATACTGTCCCATACGGTGTCCGGGACACACAACTACCCGGCCGACCGGCCCTGTGTACCGGTACCCAGTGACGTCAGCAACACGCCGGTGACGTCACTGCACCGTTCTGTAAGCCACCGTCGGGCAAATCTGGATTACTTTACTAAGCATCTGGCCCGGACTGTGCGGTGGGGTGGACCAGCGATGGCTGGGTAGGAAACGAACTGGAACGATGGTGCTAAATGGAGTGAAGGCTCAAAACACGGTAGTTGCACTGCACTGCACCTGAGCCACTGATCATCGACCACCGTTTGTCCGTCATCGGCCGTGGCTAAGGTGCAGCATCATATCGGCTCTTGACTAAACGGCGCGGTGCCGGCCCGGGCCCCGAGTCCCCAGACAGAGCTGCACTGCTCGCGACTCCAGCTCGGTAAACGAGCCACGTCACGCCAGCCGGCTGGTGCGTAGCCGGATCCCAACTGTCGCAGCTGCGCCGCGGATTGACTATGTGCGCCGCAAAGGCGGTCCTGGACAGCACGGCACGGCTCCCATCAGAGGCCTCCCATCTGTTCACAATCCTCCCAAACCATATTATTTCACAGCACCCCACCCGTCAGCAATATCGGGCGGTTTTCAATACAGACAAAAAGCGAACGATGCTGAGCACGTTGCCGTTTTACAGACCTACACACGGTCGCCACCCGTCTGACCGAGTCTCCGTTGATCAGGACTGATCCGAGACACCAGTCCGCCGTCCAAACACTGCGGGACCGGTGTGGTTGGGTGCACCCGCACCCAGCGGAGGTGTGTCCCTCCAGAGGGGTGTGTCTAATGACCGCAGACTAACATGGCCCAGTAGCGGCCCCGCGACGCGTCCCACCGTAAAACAAGCACGGCTCACGTGCCGATCCGAACTGCAAACACGGCCGCTCGGCGGGGCGGGCTGCGGTTATCCCAGGTCGATCCCCATCCACCGACCGCGGAGGGTGGCCTGACCAGAAGTACAGTAACCTGGGGTGCCGTCCTCATAGAGAACAGTCCGGCCAGAAATACACCGCTCATCAGAGGCCTCCGTTCCGCGGCGGGAGCGAAGGTGACGTGGGGGGGGGGGGGGGGGGGGGCAATACTGACCGGTAGCGTATCGAGCCGCCCCGGCCCGGAGGGGAGGGTGGAGGGGCAGAGCTCACCTGCTGCGCATATCCCTGTCCGGAGCACGGGTTGATCAGAATCAGCAGCTTTTTCACCGGCGGGATCAGGTCGGCCACGTGCGCTAAAAACACACACAGAGACGCGGCGTCAGACGTCATACCACGGTCAGATGTCACATAAATAACATGGGGTTTGAAACTGAGATGGCCATCTTGTAGCCCGTGTCCGAAAACCCCGAGAGTGTCCCACCTTACGGCCGATTTCGGCCTCCATTTGTAGGCATCGGCAATTTTAAAAGAAAATATGCCAGGAATGCGTCCTTATCCCAGGAATGCGTTCTTATCCTGTAATACAGCCACCTGCGGCGAGGCTTTGGTTTTTAACCAATCAGCTCCAATCAGCTCAGCTTTAACCAATCAGCTAATCTGACACAAGCCGACGAGACTGTCTTCTGAAGGTTGATTGGCTTGAGTGTGATGTCATCGCTATGACATCATACAGAAGGTGCGGTAGAGAGTACAAACATAGTACCAATATGTTAAATAGTTTGACATACTTTTTTGCGAATTATGCCCTTCTGACACCAGATTTAAAAAGAACATGAAAAATAATAATGTCAAAATGAAAAGCAACGATATCTTCATATTTCACGAAGGTGGCACTTTTCCTTTAAGTACGTGTTTAACTCACCAACGTACCAACAGCCTTACCGTCCGTGGATGTCCAGCATAAAATCAATCACCCCTTCCCCCTAAAATACTACAACAGGCGTGCCCGACAGCAGCCACCACAGGGCCGTGATACGACGGCCATGGCAGAAAAACGGCCACATCGCCACCCTATAGCAGTCTCAAAACCCATAAACTTAACCGCTCCGCACCCCACACCCCAAGGCGGCAGTCGCAGGACTGCTTCTGCCGCCTCCCAGCCATTAGGTGAATCAGCTGACCGCGAGCGAGGAGCTGTCCCAGTGGACCTCCGCCAACAGCCCTGTCTTCCACGCCGACTCTGAGACGGCCCCAGCAGCCCCGGAGACCCCGGCCACCACCTGGTGACCGCGGCGGTCCACTCGACCGCCGTAACGCCACCAGATCTGCTCATCACTGACGCTCTTGTAGGAGGTCGGAAGGCGACATTCACTATCCAAATGGGCTGTGTCATTTAGCAAAAAAAAAAAAAAAGACCGGAGATAGCTTGGGTGGATGAGAGGGGGTAAGTGGTGGATAAATTGACCCACGATTCAGGCCAGCGACTAAAGGCGACGCCGCGACGGGCTCATTGTGTTAACTTCGCCAGCGTTCCTGAATATCACCCGACCAGGCTCTACACATGACCTGGGCGGGCAGTCGCGAAACTGAACACTGAGCAATGAGTGTCAAATCCGATCAAGTAGTCATGCGGCTGTTTCCGTGTCGAGCCAATGACGGAGTCCCGTCAACACGGAGTCCCGTCAACATATTTGTCGTCTTCGTCGCCGTGACGGCCTACCTACAGCGACGCCGAGCGACGACAAAACCACTGCCACAAACGGCTCAGGTCTGACGCAGACGGGCCGACAGCTGACCAGTTGTTTGCGGCAGCTAAAAAGCGGCAGCACCACGCCGTCCGACATCGGTAAACAGTCCAGGTCCGGGGACCACTGAAATGTGTATGTTGATAACCAACACCGTTGCAGGGGTTGAGCCGGCCGTACCGGTTAGTACCAGTTTAAGGCCTTGGTATCAGTTGTGAGTGGGGATTCGAGTCAGTCACAGGACGTCTCAATATCGCCGCATATAGCCAAACAGCTGTCCTGACAAACTGTGTCTGCTATGTCGCTGGCTGTACTTTGCTAAATTCACCAGCAAAGTAAGCATGTGACGACAAGCACAGTCCAAAATCGCCGTCGTTAGTGATGAAAACTTCAGGCGGCCATCAGTAATTACTCTGTGACAGAGCACATACTGTTCAGCGCGTGGGCAAAGACTGTCCACTGCCCAGTACCGACCCAGAAAACGCGACGAGTCATCGCGGACAGCCTAGCAGACGGCGCGACCGGCCATGAACTATGGCAGCTGACGGCATCGACCGAGTGCGAGAGACGCTGGGAACGAGCGCGAAACGCGTGCTCGTACCCTCCTGAGATGGTGACACCAGACTTGGTAGATCAGACAAATCGCAGGCCCCGGTGCACAATGTCACATCCACCGAGATTCACGCTATCACCGGTATAATCAAGGGCGGCAGCCGGCACTTACCGTGCTGGTTATCGAAATTCGCCACATGGTAGGACTGGCTATTCGGATAAAACAATGGTCCAACAGAATATCCCGAGGATAGTCGAGTACTGCCCTAGCCCTCCGTTCCCAATCCCAGAAGCGCTGAGCTCAGCCAGCTGGACTGACCTGCCTGCGCCAGCGCCGGTTTGGTGATGGCTACTCCGCGCGCCACGCACAGCACCAGCGTCCTCCAGAAGGCGGCCAGGCGCAGGTTGGCCTCGTACGTCGGCTTCTTGCCCACGCGGAAGATGTGCGCACGCCGCTTGATGTGTACGCCGGCGCCGTCGCCGCGCCGTTTGCACGTGTACGCGTAGATGCAGATGTAGGCGTCCAGCTCGCGGACCTGGGTGCCGCGGAACTCGGCGGCGGCCCGGTCGCCGGAGCCGGCGGCCGGCGAGGGGCCGCCCGGCGCGCCCTTGGGACGCATGCAGTGGCAGCCGATGATGTCGCCGGCGTTAATCCGTTCGAGAACTTTAGTGGTGAGGTTCTCCACCTCGACATACGACTGGGTGAGTGTGACGCGACACTGGATCTTGGGCTTGGTGAAGAAGGTGAACTGCTCCTGCAGCCTGACGCCGTCCTGCTCCTCCGAGATGGACATGGTCCTGCCGGAAGGGGAGTTGGTCAGGACATGGCTGGTTAAGGCTGAACTGTTGGACATGATGCATGTGTTAGCACGACATTAAATAAAGCCATTGCATTGTGTTGTTAAAATGTGGCCAAGGCATTCAAGCATCAATGGCTTCAAAAAAATGACAAATTTCAGTGGGATGCAAGGGCATGTACATATTCACCATAGAAGCATCAACAACTTTGGATTCTCCAAGGTTCGCAAGTGTCATTAGTTAGGTAAGCAGTTAAGGTTGACATTATTGGAAAGCTGATGAAAAAGCGTTAAATATAACCCCAGTCACATGCAATAATTACCCTCAAAATACTATCGAATGCGAAAGAACATATTTTTGGAATGGTTTCCAAATATTACACTGGGATATATTGCTTTACACTTTCAAAGAATAGTAAAAAAAAAACATAACTGTATAGAAATTAGAAGGCATGTAGGGGAAGACAGGGGAGAACCGCCCCCCCCCCCCCCCTTTAACCTTTTAGGGTCTAGTCATGCTATTTTTTGCCACATGGTAAATTTCTCAGTTTCATTGGATTGTCACATTAATTTTATATAAATATTTCACCCAATTAATCGCCGGTCCCGTAGCTCAGTTGGTTAGAGCGTTGGACTCCGCGTGGTGAGAGCACGCGTTCCCGGTTATGACAGTCCGGGTTCGAAGCGCGACGGGCGCTCGACATTTCAATTTATGGGCCTCCTGACAGGTATGGTTGCGGTTGGTGGCAGGCCGTAGCCAGGCGAAGTCAGCGAGGGGATCGGCCGTACGCGGATTTGTGCGCACGTTAAACTTTGGACTAAATTCTGCCATAGAATCGGAATTGCGCGATCAGAGGGTAGAGGTCAGGGTCATCGCAACAAGCTTTGCTTAGCGGTGGCTCTGTCCTCGTGAATCCTTCCCACCAAAAGGGTCGGACTAAATTTAAAAAAAAATATTTTCTTGTAACTTTGCTCACAATGCATTATTCCACATTTAGTAAATGTCTACATTTTTCGGGGTAACACCACCCATTGGGCAACACCACCCGAGCACAGCAGCCATCAAAATGTTCTTATCATAAATTTTGAGGCGTTTCAGTATATTCATCAAATGTAGTGGGACCAATTTCATATCAATGGTACAATGTTATACTCAATTACAAAACTGGATGGCTTTAACCCCCAAAGGGTAATTTTATCAAAATTCATCATTTTCCTCTAAAAAGAAAACATTGCAACAACGTTCTTTCTTTATTCAAAATGCTCACTTCTGGGTCAGATATCACGATGTGCTATTCAATACTAAATTGCCCAAGTGGGCGGCGTTACCAAAAGGGTCTGCATTTTTCTACAAAATCCTTCAATATGGCAGCACAACAAAAAGACACTCGAGAAGAAGCACAAAATGTTTGGATGAGTCCTAATGATGGCAAAAAATACGGTATCAGTTGGGCAAACTACGGGGAGGTAATCAAGAACTTGATTAATCAAGTTCATGATTATTTTATGCCCATATTTGGTCATGTCTGCAGCCCGTCACGAAAACGGCTGAATCTCGATTCAGGGTCTACGGAGATGCACGAAAATTGTAAGACCGATAGAGAAGAAGTCACTCTACAAGTGTAATGTTTGAATGATTCAAGTTGAAAATCGTGAGGCGGTAGATTGCAACCAAAACGTAATCAACAACTTGATTACGAGGCGTCGTCCCGGGAGTCCGATGATCAACTTCTTGATTATGCAGCCAGCTGGCTAATCATGATCTTGATTTCGCATTCAGCTGGCTAATCACGATTTTGATCGCGCTGATCGTGCTACTGGCGAGCGTTGAACAATGCAACTAATTAAAAGATACAATGATAATCGTGTATATTATTGACAAAATCAATCAGTTTTGGTGGGATGGAATTTATGTTGCAGTTAATGTTTCTCATGAATGACTTGACCGAGCCTGTTCAAATTTTTGTGTGGCTAGAAGCAGACATGGGCACGGATCCCAGACGACCAGACGCGAAAATCAAGGTGGCCACTAGATTAGTGGACTTTAAGCATGGAATTATGGTGGAAAACATGGCTAATAGATGCCTCTCAACGAACCAACTATTTTGCATTCCCTCAGAGTTCACAGTTTTGAGAAATTCCCTCAAGATCCATCTCGGATCCATGGCCACGAATCCGAGATGGATCTTGAGGGATTTTCTCAGAACTGTTAACCCTGAAGGAATGCAAAATAGTTGGTTCATTGAGAGGCTTCTATGAGCCATGTTTTCCACCATAATTTCATGCTTGAAGACCGTCAATCTAATGGCCATCTCGATTTCCGTGATTGGTTGTCTGGGATCCGTGCACATGTCTGGCTAGAAGCCTATTAGCTATAAGTTTTGGACAAATCGGGGATAGGATATGTTTGCACACGCGCACATCATTTCTGTATCTCCGGAACGGCGTCACCGATTGTTTTTCAGTTTTGGTGGGTGGCTAGAGACTTAATAGCTGTAAGCTTTAGACAAGTTAGGGAATAGGGATGTGGCACACACATGTGGACTTGTGCACGAGCACACCTCTTCTCGCGCTTGCTCGCTCACATTGCCGAACACGGATCTGAAAAAGACCACCCCGAGCAAGAACACCGCTGTCCGCGATAAGCGGCCTGACCATAAGTCAGCTCAAATGATAATCTGCATACGACCACATATATTGGACGAATAGCGTTACAACCCTAAGCCCGTGTAACCAAGCACAGATCAAAGATATATTTCAAGAAATGTGTATTGAAATGTGTATTTATAGTCCGCGCCGATGGAAGGCTCAAAGAATTGGCAAACGCTTCCGACACCCCGCCGCGGCATGCTCTACGGGGATCTCACTCCACTTGCTTCACGGTCGCGATGGCCGCCGCTGATGGCGGCACATCGGCCTTCACTCCACCAAACACTTTGGTTCTCAGAAACCAATTCAGATTGACCATGTTTTTAGGAGTTTTGATGTTAAAAATCCAAAAGGCGGCCTGCCACAGCAGGAATGCTTGGTCTGGTGGCGCCGATACCACCTCCTGGGCCTCGACGAATACCGCGTCTTCCCCGCCCAGCTCTCCATTCACGATTATGGGATGGAAAGTTTTGCGGGCCTCCGTTGGCTTCCGTCGTCTCTTGGAGAATGCGCTGCAGGTTCTCCCAGCTGATCCCCTGCAAAATGTTCATAACCAAATTATAGGTACACTTAACATTGCGTGGGAGAAAATGGAGGAGAAAGAATAGGAGACAAGGAGGGAAAGAGTAAAGGAGGGAGAGAGAGAGGAGAGAGAGGAGGGGAGGGGAGGGGAGGGGAAGGAGGGAGTGAGGAAGGAAGCAAGGAAAGATGGAAGGAAGAAATGATGGAGGAGAGGTAGACAGATGTAACAAGACAAACAAGACAAGACATGGACCTGATGTGTTGGCGCAGGGCACTGATACTACATTTCGGCACATGATGTGAAAATAATGTATAATGCCTCAGACTCAGCAGTCTGGAAAATGTAGGTACAAATTACACATGTATCAGTAAAGAAGTTTCTGCATTTAGATTAGAATGAATTGTTTTGAAAACATTATAATAGACAATGCCTGTATCTTGAAAAAGGATTAGATTGGCCTGTGTCAGGACAAAACTGGGGATGAGTCATGTGAGCTCGCAAAGTTGTGCCAGGCAACTTCATGAGATCACACTGAAGGAGCTCCAGCGAATTATTTTCAGCATGCCCAGCTCGAGTGTGCAACATGTACACTGGACTGGATCATTGTAGTGTCTGAACGTGACGCAACAAACTCAACGTGACACACCAAACTGAATGTGACGCACCAGCGACAAAACAAAACACTACAACCATCTATTGCAAAAGCAATTTATACATACCTGCAGCTGTGTGTCCCTGCATCCTGGCCTGCTGTCTTGCATGAGCGCTGCACATAATACAAATGTAGCTGTAGTTAGTCCGCTTAATTCCAAAGAAGTTAATCATATCATTTTTTGATTGAAAATTCCTCAAGGTAGGACCGTAGGTACCATTATCACAAGCTTCCTGAACAATACTGTGGTGACGCCCACCGCTACAGCGAGGAGGTGGTGCTTTGATGAGCTGTGGAAAAACAGACAGATTTGCAGTCACCACTTCTATTATTGTTCTATGAATCCATGACAAAGCCACTTAGAATGCAAGTATGAATAACCTAGCATAAGCCGAAGTTTAACTTTTTATTGAAAACTAAAAGATATATCCTATTGGTACCTGCTTGCACAGATAATTGACAAGAATAAATGATATGGCCACACTACAAACTTTTGCACAACCTGCCAGGCCACAACATTTCTAGCTACTGTGGGCAGTTCAATGTGCCTCCCTAATCAACAATTGCCCCAAACAACAAACTATGCCTATTATTTACTTTAAGATAAACTATAACCTTGTAAATAGCAATACATTTTGTAAATAATTAAAATATTATACCGCGAAAAGCATGCGCCATGATAGCCTACAAAGTCATCATAAATTCTATCGCGATATTTCAACATTTATACCGACGCACATGAACGTTGAGGCTATTCAAATATACAAACATGATCTAAATTATTTAAAAAAATGCTAATTTTACCTATAAGAACCAAATTACCAATAATTCGGCGCTAATTTCCAGCCTCACCCACACACCGACAACACGACAAATGGCGGCGTGCTAACAGGCGACGGGGCCTTTTGGAAGAAATGTTTATTACCACCAATTTAAGACGTGTGTAAAATGAATGTTCAATTATTTATTTTTAAATTGGAAACGTAAAAATGTGGATAAAAGAATAATATCCGCCTAAAAAGGGCTTTAAAAAATATCACTTTTCTGAAAAAGTTAGGCTAGCAGTTTATCTTTCGCCATATGAGCTTAAGTCCATATCCCACTGCTACCGGTCCATATCATTTCGGGAGAATAGAATATTGCGTTTCACCTGGTAAAAAATCGTGTCGAAATGGACATTATAACAATCGAAACGAAACACTTGAATAGTTCGGTGCACGAAAAGTAATCAAAATCTTGATTACAACTCCTTATATGGTCATGCCACGCCCCGTTTTCGTGACGTCATAATCATGAACTTGATTAATCAAGTTCTTGATTACCTCCCCGTAGTTTGCCCAACTGGTATTAGTATATATTAGGTCCGAGTGGACAATTATGACGCTGTTGATACAAATATGTAACAGCAAAAATTTTAGGTTTTAGGTTTGTAGGTTTTAGGTTTTAGGTTGGCAGGTTTGTAGGTTTTAGGTTGTTAGGCTGTAAGTTGGTAGGTTGTAGGTAAATAGGTAAGGTTAGGTCAGGTTTGATTATGTTTTTCTTTTATTTCCAGGACATATAAGTATCATTTTTGGATTCAGGATGTCAAATAATGTATGAATATGAAAACTTTATCTTTTAACAGTCACTCGGACTTAATGTATACTTTTACCAAAAATACTACTTCAGGAATATTGTCTGTAAAAAAATACAAGCTTCTTCTGTTAATTATGTTAGAAAAAGTATAAAATGTTTTCACAAAATGTAAAATTAAGAATTTTTCGCAAATCACCTAAAACAATGTGGTGCACTGCCCATACCTGCACTTCTGTTGATGTCACTCTACCAAGAGACAGTCAGTTGTCGCCCTAGACCTTTTCATATTTCTGATATTAGGGTGGGAGGTGTTACCCAGGGCCCAGAGGGCGGTGTCCCATCTTCCCCTATACTGATACATCCAATATGCCATAACATAAAGCATGATAAAACATGCCAAATTAGCTGCATTTCCATAGGTATACCTACTCCAACCCAATTTTCTCACCTTGACCTGAGTGGTTGAAGAAGATAAAAAGACCAAACTATCTGATCTGATGACTATGAGCTTGCAGACAATTGTATCGCCGGAATAATTGTAGAATGAGAAGACAAAAAGGGTTAAGCTTACACATATTTTATTCTACAAATTAACTTGTTAATTATTCAAATATCACATTTTATCACGGTATATAGAGAACATATACCGCATTCTATGAAGCACAAGACCGCAAACCCCAGCATCTGGAGAGGAGCTGGATTTGTTTTGTTTCAGGACCTTACATAGGCAACTTTCATAGGCACTAGCAAACCTAGCGGAGGATTGATGAACTAGTCTCAGGATATTCAAAATTGAATCAAAGAATAATAATTTGTTTTTACAGTTTATTAATTTAACAAATTTAAAACAAAACTTTTAAGTAATACCAATGGTATAAGTAAAAAGCGATGCGCCGGTTTACGAGGCTCAGACACTAGCGCCTCTACATCAGTCAGCTCACAGTTATAGTTACTGCTTACAGCCGCTAGATAGCAGTAAATATCAATGCCCGAGATTTTAGTGCCACCTGGTGACAAATTTTTGTGACTACAACTGTTGATAGTTTGATGCAGAGGCGCTAGTGTTGCGAACCCTGTAAATGGGGCGGTGACTGGTGATTGTTTTGTTTTTGTTGGGTTAGGTCATTTTCAGAGGTGTCGATTTGTGAAAATGGTTGGGGGTGCCCAGAGCTTTAACACGCGCAGTGGAAGGGTTGCGAGTACTACGCCCAGTGGAAGGGGGGGGGGGCGGCCCGCCACCCCCTAAGATCTCGGCTCCCACTGGAGCTAGAAAGACGAAATTTGGAGGGTAGGTGGGGGCCATGGGGAACTCTGTTGTGTGTGAATTTCATGACCCTAGGTCAATATCTTTAAGGTCAAATGAGGTCAAATGTGGTCAAATCTGCCATATGAGCGACTTTTTTGCGTTTATACGCCGATAACTCAAGAAGTTACCGGCCGATTTTCTTTTTACTTTCACTATACGAAAGAACCAACATTTGTGAGTATGTATGGTGAATTTCTAGATGATCCAACAATAAATATGACAGTTAGAAGCCTGCTAAGGGTAAGATGTCGCCGCCTGAAGCGGGATCGGCCGACGCGGGAAACGCGGCAATCACAATTTTGTGTTTGCACACTCATAACTCAAGTTGTTACCGGCCAATTTTCGAAATTCTTTGACCATATGTAAATTTCTCAGTCTTGTCACCGAATTTGACGCGAATCTAATATAATCAGCGGTAAGGAGCTCGGTGTAAAGACGGAACCGTCCCGCCCCGGCACAGTCTACAATTCAGGCGGCGCGTAACGGCTAGCGCCGGCCGCCGCGCCGCCGCGCCGCCGCGGCGGCAGGATGTTTGACTTAACACCGCTATTACTAGAAAAGTTGTGAACCGATTTTCTTATTTCTTGCACGAGAAGATCCGCAATTCAATTTTCGACAGGTAGCCGAAATTTCACATTAATATTATGTTTGCGGCGCGAGTTATTGGCGAAAAACAGGAGGGGTGGGCGAAATCCCCCCCCCTTCCACTGCGCGTGTTAACCCTCACCCGTATACATTGGAGGGGGGGGGGGGTCGAACGGACACCCCCCTCGGTTTTTCGCGAATAACTCGCGTAAAAAGCGGCCGATCACATCGAAACTTTCACTAGTGCCCTCGCGTTGATCAATTTTACACCTACCCTTGAAATTTCATGACCCAGACCCAAATGACCTTTGACCTGTGACCTACTTTTCGGGACCATGTTTGGCCGGAATCGCGATTTGACGTATGTACTATGTCGGCTCGCATTAGCCGCGCGTTTGCAGTCTTTTCGTGGTTTCAAGCGTTCAAACATGTGATATGATGCTGCTCCCATGCATTAGGGTGGGTGTCAAGGTCACCTGAAGGTCAGGTCAGGTCATTGACCTTTGATGGCCATTGACCTTTGATGACTTCGGTTCACTTTTTGAGTTTTACATGTTTCTAGGCTAGTTTTTGGAGCTGAATTCGAATTTAGCAACCATATGAACATTTACGAAGTAGTTTTGGTGCCTTCATAACATGTTACGAAGCTGTCAGAGGCGGTTGACACCTAATACGAATACCCGGCAGGACCCATACTGGTTGACCTGACCCGTCCTGACCCCACCTGGCCTAAATGTATGACGACATCTTTGTGATCAAAACTAACATAATATTCGTGATCAGCACCCCGAAAACCCCCATAGCAGGCACACTTTACGACGTTCTCACAGGTCCCGATTGTCCCTTTTTGGGTCATTGACTTGACCCGGAAGCAGCGGCGTATTTAGAAAATCGCGAAGGGGGGGGGGCCAAGGGTTTGGAGGGCGCCACCTCACCCAAGTAGGGCGCCATACAGTCGCGAGATAAAAATCCTTAACGATCGCTCAGCGGAGGGGGGGGGATAAAGTTAGGTCACTCGACATGGCCTGATGACCTTGCTTTAGCGACATGGTTTGCATTTTAAAGAGCACGTGTAAGAGCAATGTACCAAAAGGTGTGCCCCTCCCGCTCACCCAGTTCCCTCCCCCAACAGGGAAAAAAACGGAAGCTCGTAGCGTAGTGGCATATGGGATTTTTTTTACCGCATGTCTGAAGAAATGTCCTGGCGCGGGTTAATCTCACACGTGACGAAAAGGTTGGAAGTGATTGGCTATAAGTTCCTACTGAAGAAGTGTTGTTGTTGTGCGCGCCGAAGCCGCGCGAAAATTTTTGAAAACAACCTTTTCCTCCGCTTTTTAGGCACATATTTTACGTGCTCACTGTTCAAAGCTCTTCTCACTCTTTTACCAAATTTGAAGGTGTAAAAATACCTAAGGTTTGGTGGGGTCGGTGCCACACAAACTGTATAGGAAGCTTCGCCCATGGGTGACGATGTAGAAAAGTTTATTGGCGGTGGCATACACACCAGACCACCATATCGGATTGATACCGGAGCGCGAGGTGCGTAAACACAAGCGCACAACGAGAAGGCGGCAGCAACAGAAAGATAAACCATAACAGGACTGCTCCTCATGAGATCGATTAGCCTCCTCGGGCTTCTCATCCAAATTTCCTCGACCAGCCCTCATGACCTTCTCACAGATGCATATTACAGTGTTGAATACCTACATAACCAGCTTCAATCACCGAAACTGATGCCTGCTGTTGCGGCCGAACCTGTTGACAATATTTAATCGTGATCCATATAGAATAGATGTCATGATGCACGTTAAGTAAGATCAATCCGTTAAGACCAAAGACGTGCTTTATGCATGGTAGAGCGTAGACAGTTTTGGTATGCTTCATTCATTATGCTGAATGCACGTTCATTTGTGGCAGTTTTCACAGGCCACAAATGAACAAAGAAGATAAATCAGGAAAGACATCAATATGTGCAAGATAACTGCTAAGTTGGGAAACATGCCAAAGGAGTAGATAAATCATAGGAGGGCAGCGATCAACGGAGGTCGCCAATAGGTAGAAGGGCTGCGATCGACAGGAGGTCGCTAATAGGTAGGAGAGCCCCGATCAACATCCCGAGTTTCGACAGGAGGGCACCGATAGGTAGGAGGGTGGCGAGCAGCAGGAGGGTGCCAATGGGTAGAAGGGCGGCGAACAGGAGGGCGCCAATAGGTAGGAGGGCCCCGATCAACAATCAACAGGAGGGTGCCACCAGGTGAGAGGGCGGCAAGGAACAGGAGAGCACCAATAGATAGGAAGGTGGCGATCAACAATAGGTCGCCAATGAGTGGAAGGGTGACGATCAACAGGAGGGTGGCAATGGTGAGGAGGGTGCCTTTGCCCAAGAGGATGACATTGAACAGGAGGGGACCTGTGGGGAGGGCGCCAATTTAGCAGGAAAGTGCCAGTGGATAGGAGGGCGGCGATCAACAGCAGGGCGTCAGTGGTTAGGAGGGCGGCGATCAACACGAGGGCGCCAATAGGTAGAAGGGCCCCGATTAACATTCAACAGGAGGGACTGGGGAACCAATAGGTAAGAGGGCGCCATGCAATGGCTAGAAGGGTGGCACTCAATAAGAGGGTGCCAAAAGGGAGGAGGGCGCAAGAGGGTGCCAAAAGGGAGGAGGGCGGCCATCAAAATTTCACGAGAGCGCAATAGGTGGGAGAGCGCCAATAATTATGAGGGTGCCGACCAGCAGAAGGGCGCCATTGTGTAGGGCAAGGTGGCGACCTACAGGAGAGCGCCTTCGGGTGAGAGGGCGCCTATTTACAGGAGAGCGCCAATAGGTAGGAGTACAACGATCAAATGAGGGCGCCAGTGGGTAGGAGGGCAGCGATCAACAGGCTTACATAGGCGACTACCGCTACGCTTAGAAAGCTACAGCCTACAAATGCGGTTGGAGGGCGCCCAAGGGAGCCCTCTAATCGTATTTGAAGGGCGTATTTGGAATGGCGCCCTCCGAGGGCGCCCTCCAACCGTATTTTCCCTGCAAACACATTCGCGATTGGGCGCCCTCCAGTCGCGATTGTTTTTCGATTCGATTCTATCACAACTGCATTTGCGATGCGCCCTCCAATCGCAAAGGGCGCCTTCGGCGCCCAAGGGGGGGGGGGGGGGCATGGCCAGTGGCCCCCCCCCCCCTGCCTACGCCCCTGCCCGGAAGGTTAACCAATGACCTAGGGGCTAGGACCTTAAAATTGGGTATTATCGGCTTCCTCTCGTCACGGGAAACACGCTCGTTTTTTTCCACGAAGCTCTAGCAACAGGGGCGAAATGGCAAGGAAGGTTCAACGGACCCCCCCCCCTCTTATACGTTCGCGGCTGGAAAAACACCAATACGGGCGAGGGTTAAGGCAGACTTCATGTGCTATTCTTTTAGATAAAACTGCATTGTGTTAGTATCTGGGCCTCGGATAACATAGCCAGTAGCGATTTTTGCCCACCCAGTGGAGTGTGTTTGCCCACCCAGTAAAGACGGAGACGGGGCAGTTTTACCCGCGCTAGGCCGGTGCTCAGCGCCTTCCGCGCCGGGCCGGGGGGGGTGTCTGAACACCCCCGTCTAACTCGGCTCCTGGGCCACGTAGCGACATGCGGTAGGCGGCATTAGAAGGACAGTTAAAATGAAGAGAATACTTGGTCTTTATAAGGTCAGGTCAAAGCTCAGGTGGCCAGAGGTCATAAAAGGTCAAAGTTGGTTTGTTTGAACAATTTTCGAAAACCTGGCGCATAATTTGGGACCTAATAGAGCTGCAGCGCCGCGGAAAAGCGCATTCGATAGCTCTTTCGGCG